ATGGTTTCACATCCTCTATCCTCTATCCTACCACCCCCTTCCCTCCCCACTACCTCAGATGGATACTTCAGTGAGGATGCCAAGTACAACCTGTGCTACTGCGAGTCCTGCCACAAGCTGCGGGGGGACGAAGCATATTACAAGCGGGGGGAGCCCCCCCGAGACTACGCCCTGCCCTTTGGCTGGTGCCGCTTTGCTCTCAGGTCAGTCTCCCACCCCCCCGGTTTATACCAGACCACAGGCGCCATATATAAAGCCCCACACCACCACTCAGCATAACAGCTTTTTCTAACCTGTCGCCCTACTTAAGCTACCAGTTACATGCTGCTTCTTGAATACATCGGCAGTTTGCTAATTGACTCTTATTGAGACAGCATATTACACCATCAGCTCCTGGTGTGTTGGTGCATTACACTGTTTGATTCCTTATTGACATATTAGCTCCTGCTGCTAAAATAGGGCTCCTTACTGTTCTGCTGTGTAAGGCAGCTGACTCTGTGTGGTCGGTCGTTCTTGGGTTTGCTCGTTCCTAGGATCAAGCCCCACTGTGAGGTGTCCAACGCTCTGAAGAAGTGGCACATCGCCTACCATGGTACCAGTGTGGGTGCATTGAGGCGCACCCTGGACCACAGCCAGCTACAGTCAGGTGAGCACGGGCGTCCTCAAGTGAAGGGCTCATGGTACGACACCCAGAAAATAAGGGGTCCTGGAGGGCTGGTTGGTCTCTGTAAACCAGGGGTGGGCAATCTTGTCCTCAGAGGGCCAGTGCGTATGCAGGAGTTTGGGATAAACTTTAGGTCAGCTGTTCAAACCCAGGTGTGAGGACTCTTCAGCCAGTCAGTCCTCTAATTAGTAATCTAATTATGGAGTTACAGCCAAAAATCTACATACACAGCGGCCCTTTCTGGATAAGATTGCCCACCCCTGTTCTAAACACAAGGTGACCTCAGAATTTTGATAAAAAGGCATTCAGTGCAGCCTTTGAGGACCAGGAAGGAAGACATCCCACTGCCCAGTACTGCTCAACAAGCCTAGATGTTCAACAAGCCTAAGAAGTCTAGATGTTTCTCAGAGGAGCTGCCATACTGGAACCGGAATGAAGTGCAGACTAAGGAGCTAAAAGATAGATGGATCCAAAGAGGCCCAAGAAGGAGGGGCGGAACGGGTTGTAGGTCTTAAGTCCAAGTGTGTCAGAATTCTAGAGGGTACAGACTCTGTTGGGTTCCACTGCTTTATGGCATATATCTGTGAATAAATAATTAATAAAGATTAATATGAATTTATATTCCACACATTTTCTGCCCATTTTTTTTTTTGCCTTTTAGCCCTGTAACGAATCAACTGGGCCTCTGGCCCTGGGCCTGTTGCAGGTCTGCGGGTTAAGGTCACCTTTTTGTGCGGTCAAGCCTGTCTGTGGTGGACTTTGCTTATTGTGATGAAAAGAAAGCCAGAAATAACATGTACAGCCCTCATTCCCCCTTGCTGAGGACTGTCATGCTGCCACTTTTTCCAGGGACCTCGTCTATATTCTCGGTAGCGCAGACAAAAGCGGAGGGCCAGAGTGGTTACAGCGAGCCGGAGGAGAACAGCGCCCCCGAGAGGGAGGTGCCGAGGGTGCAGCTCTCTCCCACGATGCGGTACTCTGGCCTGGAGACCTTTGCCCCAAAAGTGCAGTGAGTATCTAGAATTGAGGGGCTGATGCTCGTAAAAATATAATTGGAAGGTAGGACCTGGAGAGAGCATGGAAGGTGTGTACAGAAGGGCGGGGCCTCAGGGGTTCTGGTCCCAGGTGAAAGCTGATTGGCCCACTCCCCTGTCACTGACCGATTCAAAATATATCATTGGCTAATGATAAGGTTGGCCCCTATGTATCAATGACAGCCACACCTTAAAAAAAATCCTAGAATTAACCTCTATAACAATGTGTAGGAGAAAAGAGGCTAATGTTAATGCCAACTGTGAGGAGAGGGTGGGAATCGGGAGTGAGAAACATATGCTAATGCTAATCCATGGGGAGCACGAAGCCAAGCTGTGCTAGATGCATGCTTCTGGTGGGCTGTGGTGGAGTGTTTCAGGCACTGATTCGTTTTCCTCCTCTGAGTTCTCTCTCTTTCCACCCCATCGCTCCACTCCCCCATGCCCCACCCCATCTCCAACACCAGATTCCGAGATCCCCGTTCGCAGCGGTACCACCAGGTTCAGGTGGCCTTCCAGGTGTGTGTGAGGCCGGGATCCTACAAGGTGGGCCCCCAGACTGCAGGACTGAGCGAGCCGCTGGACCCCCGCTTCAGCAACTCGGAGATCGAGTGGATCACCAAGGAAACGGGCGGCACCCTGCTGTACAGCCTCCTCATCCGCGTGGAGTGAGGCGGGGGGGGAGGGGGCAGGTGGGGGGATCTGAGTACTGTCGGTCACCTCAGATGGCAACTACGTTCCAGCCCTCCTCTCACGGCACCCCAGTCACAGAGGACTTACTGGAATTTTTGTTTATTTTCTTCGTTTAGGGGGGGATTGGTTTCATAGAAGAGACACTGCCTGCACTTTATGTTTTGGACACAAGTGGGCGATTTTTAAACTTTCCATGGATCTAACACTACTCTGTCCCACCTCGCCTCTCATTTTCCCCACTCTAACCTGCTTCCTTCCTGCCCGGAAACTGCACTCGTTCATTCTCATTTTCTACACCACTCCCTCTGTTTATGGCTGCTCGTTTCCATTAGATGTACATCTTTTTTTTCCCTTAAATCTTTTCCACTCAACTGTTAAAAAAAAAAAACTGAGACTTGGCTCAATCTGGACAGTTTTTTTTTTTACCAATCAGGAACAGAAGCACTTGGATGATTTAAGGCTTTGAAGAGCACAACCACATGGAGGAAATGTGGTTGAAAAATGACTGAAGAGAAGCAGGTTGAGCAGGACAGAACTGTGGACCAGCGTCAACGGTCATGATGGCACAGCCACCGTACACAGACGGGGTGTCTACACACTATCTCCCGCCTGCTTTGAACAGATCGCTGCACTTCCACTCACCTTTTTCATTTGATTGCTGGTTCCCCCGCCCTCCTGGTCCACACCGCTGGCCACACACTCGCACAAACCCTCAACCGGCTGTCTGGATCAGTCTGTTGGTTGGGGCAGGAGGCGGACTTGGAGCATTCTGAAACTGGACTCCTCAAACCTGGTCCCGGCTGGCCACAACCCGGAGGTTTGGCACGGTTTGATGGTTCGGTTTTCCCATGATCCCCCTCACCACCTTCCCAGCTTCAGGAATGGAGGAGGGCTTGCCAAGCCATCTCTTTCACTCTGAGATTTTAATGCTACGATCACAGCAGGACTGCGATTCAGACTCCACGGCATCACCCCTCCCATCTCCATGGACACCTTGCTGGCTTGTGTGGCATTTAATTAATGAGCACAAGTACCCGGTTTGAGAGATGGGCGTTTTGGACCTGAGATGGCCTGCAGGAAGAGGCGGAGAGCCATATCTGGCAGTTTTCGCAGATATGTTGCTTGGACTGTTCCCCAGGTGACCTTTCTAAGGCCTCTTGAGGCTTCTGGTCAGGTTGGACATCGATCCTCCTTAAAATGGCCCTCGAATACTGGGAAGTGAAGAGTGAGGTCATGAGGCTTTCAGTTACCAAATGCCTTTTTCCCCAAACTGGCATTAAGGATGGAAAGAAGATTGTACAGCTTTAGGGGCAACATGAATCAGCAAAATATATTTTCTGGTTACATCTCCTACCCACTTGTCCCCTTCTGCCCCTAGTGGTGGATATGTGCCTGGTCCTGCTCCCTACTTTCAAAGGTTGCATTGCAATGATTCATATCTGATCAAACAAACCTGTCAAGGCACTGCCTAGCAGGGAATGTCAGGCCACTTATAAAATATGATGTTAAAATTTGAGTTAAACTCTGTAAACTCCCTTTGCTTAAATTTTACTTGACAAATGCCGACGTAAAGATATTTCCATTTCAGAAAGTTTTGACTGTATCTGAAATTGACAGCCTTGGCCTCCAAAGCAGATACTAGGGGTAAAGTGACTGACCCCCCCACTCCTTTTGTTTTTTTTGCCAAACTGATGAACACGAGTATATATTTATTTTTCACACACAAAAATCCACGCTCTTGCCAAGAAGTTATGTGAGTAACGTTGGTCTGTCCCACTGAGGAGGAAGTGGGCCCCCGAAGTTAAACGTGGGCTTTAATTTACTGCACGAGGGTAAACGAATAAAAAGGAGGTGCCCATAATGTCTAATGGAAAATGTGAAGACATGGGGTCACTTCAGCCACACGCTGCTTTTTAAATCATTGTTTGTATTTTTGTTTTTGTTTACGTTTTATTGTACAGAATGTAACATAACATGAATCATATCTTCCTGATTTGTAAAGAACAAAGAGAACGGATACACATTGTATGTATTTCAGTGCTGAATGTTTTTTTTTTTTTTTTTGAAGTCACCTGTCCTTGTTTGTTGCTTATGTCCAACCTGCATCTCACATAAAGAATCCGGTTTTCATATTTAAACAAAAGAGAAAAAGAAAACGGTGTAAGTATACAACATGGAAAAGCGTGTGGGCTGTGGTGTGTTTTGTGTGCACAGTCCGTGTATATACTTGTTCCTCCTCGGCTTGCCGATGAGGTGGAGTGAGAGGCACTGACAGAACAAGATCCAGGACAAAATTTCCAGAAACATCTTCCCCCCCCAATACTTTATTTGGAATAGGAAAAGAAATCCATTCACTGACTTTATTGCAGTGTTGCATATTTACTCACACATCTTCCCAAAGTATTTTATAACAATATATATAATTTTTTTTAAGGCTAATAGTATCCCAGCGCCTTTCCTTCATCCATCAACAGCTGTCACTACAGCCATGAGCAACACTACCTCATGTAGATCCAGCTCTGCTCCCATATTATTTAGGGCATAGAGGGTACTTTAAAGCATTAAAATTTTGATTCTAAAGGTCTGATTCTGTCAAAATAATGTAAAAGAAACAGGATTTATTGTGCGTTTTTATTCATCCATAGAAACACAGAGCCACGTGCACACGCATACCAAATGAAAGTGTTTCCCACCTGTGTTGTGGTTGCATATTCTGTTGTAGGGTTACACCTTCAGCTTATGGGGGGGGTCCCAATACAAAATGTAAAATACATCAGGAAAAGAGAAAAGGACTTTTGAAATGACTGTGACATCTGACCTGTATCACATCACAGTGAGAAGGGGAATAAACCCACAATGAATGCGGCTGAATGGGCAGGAACAGGCAGGGACTGGTGGTGGAGTGAGACCCGTCATACTTCAGCTTATTAGACCGCAGCAGACCTCCCCCCCAACACCTAATGGTTGGGACGGCTTATCCATGTCAAAGCTACGTTTCTGATTACCTGGTAAAGGTAAGTGAGCACCACCATTGGTTTTGCAGCTTACACTCTCAGGTCATCCTGGACCAGAATGGACTGTCCGCGACACTGAACACCCAGAATTACGCACATTTCTTTGTTGGCCCACTGTGAGCTTAAGTATGCAAAGAGGTCATTAAGATAGCCATAGAATATGGCTTTTTTTCGCTCCACTTCCTTGCGAATGTTTGACGGTAGCCGTCACATGGAGTAACATTCCTTACCGATCAAGACGTACAACTGTCGAGAGAGACTTAATATTGTGTCCAGTCTGCAGAACATTCCGCTTTGCTGCATGCCCCTGTGTGCATGACAACAGAAGACAAAGGCTTCCTTCCTCTTATACACATACACAGACTGGTAGACAACTTATGATATAAGCTAACAGACTCACAGACTTACACAACAGTCATTGTTTTATTCCTTTGATTTTTTTTTTCTTCCCTTTGTTCATTCATTACTAACAAAATTCTCCTTGACGGATTAAAATCTTTACTGGCCTGAAAGTGACATGGATTAACAGATTTATGATGCTACAATACTGTTCACTACTGTCGGTGCCCATGGATTGAAGCAGAGGATACCAGTATTTATGAACATGACCAAGATGTGGGTTTGGGGAATATCTAAGCTCAATGTTTCATCTTGCACTTCAGGGCCTGTAGACACTACCTGTGCGTATAGGTTAGAGCACGCTGAGGACTGTCTACAAAGCTACTCCTCCTTACCCTTTGAGAAGTACAGGTAAGGAGCGTCAGGAAACGTCCGGTAACCTTCGTCAGTTTCTGTGGATGCTCTACTAACATGGGCCTATGATGGGCCATTGGACAGACTCCTCACCCCAAGAACCATGCAAAGCTTTATATCTCTGGTTGCTCATGGTCTGCCCTGATGCAACATCCACCCAACAGAAGCAGAGAATCAAGAAACCAGACACAAACGCTGAGAGCAAGATGTACTAGAGCTTCTGTTGACCACTGTGAGTGTTTTTTGCCCTCAAGCACCAAGCTGACATCTCCCAGTATCCATCTGAGACACTCGGAAATGGTAGCATATGGGAAAGTAGCCCCAGAAAGGGCCGTTAACTCTGCCTTTTACCGAAAGTAATGACACTTCCCCCGTGTTTGTTTCCCCTGTGCACCATGATATTGGCACATACCCCAGATGAGTGTTTTTAATCAAAGGCTGTGATTTCATTGAGAATTCTGGGTCACAACTCAGCTTTAACTAGCAAAATGGCTTCCCGTGAAATGAGTGAGCTGACAGACAGGGCAGGAGAGAAAATGAATGGACTGAAAAGAAGAAAGGGACCAGGGCCAAATATAATGCCAAGATCACCCTCACACATGCACACACTCAGGGCTGAAATTCAAGTCCTTCACGTGAGCGAAAATACAGCATTTAAAAAAAAAAAACAACAAAAAATAGGGTCTCATATGCCAAGGTACCAGATCACCTTTTTTTTGAATAAAAATTCAGTTTCACAAAAGAATAAATAAAACAGAGCAATCCCATGACCTCTCAGTAGTGACATACCTACAGATTCCCAGACAGCTTAAGACTTGACCAAAAACCTTGCACACAGTAGGCGATGCGACTCTATGAATTTAAATAAATAAAAGACTATGTGCACACTTCTCCAGCAGAGAATAAAACTTTTTTTTGGAAATATTAAGAAACGCTAGCTTTCAAAATACCGCTGTTGGTTCCCTTGCCTCCAAATAGCCTCCCTTCTTGGAACCGGACCATAACCGTTATCTGTTCTCATTGATTTTTATTTTTTTTTATTAAAAAACATCTACAGAAGCTAAATGAGAGTGGACGGTCTGGTTCTGACTGCCATGATCACAAGGCTTGCTTGCAGATTTCTGAACGACTGACGTTTCCAGCAAGAGTGAGACAGAGAGGGATGAGGGGAAACAACTGTGGAAGGGATGGTGGTTCCTCTGGAGGGAAACTGTGCTAACGGGGGGAGAGAGAGATACAGGGGAGAAAAATATTCTCTGTTCCTCTTGCCTCCTGAGTGACATGGGGTGAATGTGATCCACCCAAGATAGAGAAGAGAGAGAGAAAGAGACAGAGAGATGGACCTGGAGAGGAGGAAGAGCAGGCGTGCTAAGAGCAGCTGGGTACAGTCTATCTCCTCTGCCTTCAGAATTTCTTGGGGCCCCACGCTGAGGTCTGCTTTGGGGCCACGCCAGCTCCAAAGGTGGGGAAGTCTTCAGCGCTGCTCATGTCGGGAGCCTGGGGAGACACAGCCAGACCAGAAGCTTCATTGCATTTTACATCTAAATGCCTTTTTCTCCTTCACCACTTGTGTGCTGTCAAACAGTCCCACCTTATTCCCAGGGGCATTCCATGGGGCATCCCGGACCACAAAGCCCTTGGCCGACACTCTGCCGTCATCATCCCCACCCCCCCCCCGGGATGGGGGCTTCATGTATGCGGCCATAGTCTCGGTCTCTGTCACGTTCATCATCTATGGAGACATAGACCACATCGACTAACATTCACACGCTGAGCCATTTTGACTGGTCCCCAAACTCCATCAGACAACACAGGGAGAGAGTGCCCCCTGGCCTTGAACACTCACATATTCCTCTTCCAGGTTGAGCAGGTGGTCAATGGCATTGTCTACGTTTTCAGGAAGTCCTGTTACAGTGACCCGGTCGGGATCATCAGAGCCAGGCTGTGGAAATCTGATATCCACCTGGGAGGGAATGTGAATGAACGATTCCATGTCAGGGTACTCACATCTGGCACGGCAGGAAAGGTCAATGTGATTTCAAACAGGAGGAACACGAGGGATAGTCTCACTTTGGCTCATGACTTACACCTGAGTCACACATTAAGAAAGATCAAGGGTGACAGACTCGCTTCAGTCACTTCTTGTACCCTTTATCTACCAACCTATATGTCACCTCATTTTCTCCCAGGACATGGAGTACCAGAACAGTTTCTTTGACAAACATTTAACAATCACCTGAAAACAACTGCCAAGTCAAACTTTATACAGCCTTCCCTGATTAATCATGAGAAGAACGATCAGATACCCAACAATGATATCCCCATTAGCAAGAAACAGCATTATAAAACAGTCCCCAGTTTTCTGTCACTTGGTTGTTCCCAATCACTGCACCTTGAACTCCTCCATGAGCTTGCGGATGGCTTTGCCACGGGCACCGATGATGCGAGCGTGGACACGGTGGTCCAGCCTCACGTCTTCGCTGACCATCTCCTCCAGCGCAGACACCAGCTTCTCGATGGCTGCGCGGGCCTCCTCCACATTCCGCTCGTAGCCCGAGATCGTGATCAGGTCCTGGGGAAGGAGGAAGGATAGCAGAGCAGTGGAACACAGAGAGATGGAGAATCAACAGAGGAAAACAGAGCAGAGATACACGGAGACAGGAGAACCAATGCGGATTCCTGCCTGGTTGTGGAAAAAGTTCATAACTTCTCACTTCATAGCTATGTGAGGGTTTGAGTGAATTTGATAACACAGTCTATATGTGCTTTGAACACTTGGGCAAGGCAAGTTATGTCTGCGTACTTGACAAGAAATCTGAGATATCTGAAGTTGGCCTCCATCAAAGGTGCTTCTTTTTCCCCACTTCTGTTTGTGTTTTTTTAGGACAGGACATCAACACAACGTCGTGGCTGGAATCCAGTACGGAGGGCTAGAGGTGGCATCCCTGCTATCTGAGGATGTTGTTCTTCTGGTATCATCCAACCAGGACCTCCAGCACACACCTGAGCAGTTTGAGGATGATTGTGAAGCACCTGGGGTGAGAATCAGCACCTCCAAATCTGAGCTGATGCTACTTTCTCACAAAAGAGCAGAATGTTCCTTTCAGGTAGGAGAGTCCACCCTTGGTGAAAGAGTTTAACTGCCTCTGGATCTTGTTCACAAGTGATGGTAATAGCGAATGTGAGATCGACAGGCGGACTGGTCCAGTGACTGACAGTTTTGTGGCCACTGAGGAGGTCTGTGACAGTAAAGCAGGAGCTTAGTCATAAGAATGAGACATGACAGTTTAGTAGTTAATCTACAACTCTATCCCCATCTTTGGTCATGGGCCTGGGTAATAACCAAAGAACCGGGTCGCGAGTATAATGAAGTTATCATGATATAATAGTGAGGAGTTTGAAAATCCAGAAGGATCTCAAAATACAACTGCTGCTCCTTCACATCAAGAGGAGTCAGACTAAATGCTCTGGATATCTTATAAGGATGCAACCTGGTTTTTGGAGACATGTTCTCCTGGGCAATGACCTAGGAGAAGTTGGCCTGGGAACATCTGGGGATCTCCCAGAACAAGCTAGAGCCAGTGGCCTTGGAAAGAGAGGTCTAACCTGACCTTCTCACCAGGCTGCCACATGACCCTCACTGGTATAAGCAGTGGGAAAATGATGACGACAATAATGACAATGACACACACAATGTCAGACCTGCTGCTCATCACCCTTGTCAGGGAACTGCACGTTGACGTCGTGGTCCTTGCGGATCTGGGAGATGACAGCTCCCTTGCGGCCAATGATCTTGGGGTGGTATTTAGGGTGAACGGACAGGGTCAGCTTGAAGCTACGCAGCGCCTGGGCAGAGGAACAGAATTAATTTCATACGTCTGTTATAAGTTGAGAGAAACCGGAAATACATAAAACACCATTTCGTCTGATACTCCACCTCAATCCCCTGCTTCGATACTGTGAGGTTTGAAACTCCACCTCTGCCCCATCAATACAGTAGGGTTGTAACAGTACACTTATTCGTCATGTGCAGTTCAGTTACACTATTTTCAGTTTGGTACGCAAAATGAAATGAATATATTTATTTACAGGGAACCCAAATTCACAAGTAGATCTTCAAAACATTCCAAACAAAACAAACCAACCATTTGTGACTGAGTTGGTTACGGCTAGTGCTGGTCTGGGAACATTTTGGTTTCCCAAAAAAATACACCAGCACTGGAGGGAGAGTAGCTGAAAAAGACCAAACTCTACTATACCAACAGCTCTACTATACCAACAGCTCTACTATACCAACAGCTCTACTATACCAACAGCTCTACTATACCAAGTTTGGATATGTTGCTGGAAACACATGCAACATGCTAACTCATTTAAAACAACATTATTTAAGTGTGGGTATGACCACAGCAAGGCAGAAACAGCCTCTGCAAGTTATGGCACTACTTACAGCGCGGTTCCAGCTCGCTTCAGTTTTCCACTGCAGAAGGGTCAGCTTGGTAAAAGCATTGCCGAGTTTGGAGAGTGAAAGTGACGGAAAACTAAAGAGATGCTTATTTACTGTTCACACGGTGTACATCATGATTTACTATGTGTTTTATACTGTGTGCTAATTTCCGCTATCATGTCTGTGCAACCAGTCCTGTTATGCAAGTATCAAACGTTAGCAGAATTAGCATTTGCTTGCGGAAATTTGCATTACAAATCCACTCCATTTAGCTGTTGAATATTATGTTTTTAAGTACGAAGTTGAAAAATTTTCAAATTCAAATTTTTCGGAATGATGTGCAATACTATTAATAATGAATAATCATTATTAATAGTTGAATAATTTAGTTTAATCAGATGTTGTTGACGCAAACAGCTCGGTTTAGTCACACTTTCGGCCCAAGTAAACAGTACCATGTCATCGCAATCACGGCTCAGGTACGGCTCGCATGCTTTGTAAAACAGGTATGCAACCATACTCAGCAGTAGAGATAGGATTACAATTGTTATGATTAGGTTTTGTTATTCAGACATGTCAACAGACGCATTGCCTCAGGCTTAAAACTGTTCCTAATTGTGTTTGCATTTGCAGTCTAAATAATAAATAATTTCAAAATGAACTCTGTGTTCCCCACTGCACCGAAATTGCAACACACCGTGAACTCCTGTTTGTGCCGGACCGAGTATTCTGTGTACTGTTACACTACTATTATACTGTGAGGTCTCTGCTGCTCCTGCTGCCCCATACCCCAGAGGTCCAGAAGTGCTCATTACCCTGTCCTCCTGCTCGGCCTGCAGCTCTCGGACCCTGTCCAACAGCCCCAAGCGAGCACGCTCCGCATTGGCCACTTGGCCCGTGATCTTAATCACGTCCGACTGCTGCTCTGGCTGAGGCACCCAGATATTCACCTGCAGGGCACCAAGCACATGTACACACACATACTGTTCACAGACAGGCTGCATTTGGCCAGATGTAATCACACAACTACTGTCTTTAGAAAATGTAAAACGTTCAGAAACACAATAAACCAATGTTGTATATGTAGTGTATGGACTTGGACATACTGCAGGACCAACCATAAGCTCACACACCTCATATTCCTCCATCATCTTGCGGATCCCACTGCCCTTCTGCCCAATGATATAGCGATGGAGGTCGTAGGAAACTTCCACATCCACGGTGACAGGGACCAAAGCCTGGGGGGCAGGGGAAGGAAATGAAAGGAAAACAGGGAATGAGTGAAGAGAGGAATAGAAAAGGCAGAGAAGATGGTGAACAGCGGTGAAGGAGCAAAGGAAAAGGAGAGAAAAATAAAATGAGGCAGAGAAAAGGAGGATTGGAGGTTGCAGAGATGATGAGAGATGCAACATAAAGAGAACAAAGATTAAGAAAAGGAAAACCAAGGGGGCACAGGAAGAAAGACAGCCCGGGAAAGACTGAAGGAACAGCGCTGACAGATAGGAGTGAGCATACCAGCAGGGCTGCCCGTGCCATCTCACACTTCTCTGATCGTCCACAGATGGTGATGATGTCACCCTTACGCGGGACAAACTCTGCCTCTGGGCTGGCGTCTCCATTCTCCTGTGCCGAGGGGTCCGCCCCTGGGCACGTAACCAAGGCAACAACAGAGTAGTCAGCTTTTTAAACTCAAATAAAGGGGACCACATCACTGCAGTGGTGACCATGGACAGCAAGGGGACAGGCTGGCGGCAGATCGACGCACCTGCTGTCTCGTCCCTCTCCGGAAACTTGATCTGCACTTCGTGCTCGCGGGTGATCTGCTGGATCCGTGAGCCCTTGGGGCCCATGATGGCTCGATGGTACCGCTGGGGAATAGCACACTCCACTGTCACCTGTGCCTCCTGGTGGTGGGAGGGGAGAGGTGACATGTTTACTGACACCCTGAAAGTGATTTATTTTCATGACATACCCTTGCCAACATGGCTGTCCCCCCAACATGGGTTTTTAACCCATAATTTCCCTTACACATAGACACACACACAGACAGAGGGGCATACCAGGTCTTCAATAATCTCCTGGATGCGTCTCTTGGCCGCCTCTACGCAGTCCTTGGCCCCCTTGAGCGTGACACGGTCGCTGTGGGCGCCCGTGCGCGGGAAGCTGACGGCCACGCCCCCATACTCTTCTGCCATCTCCCGTAGCACCTGGCCACGCCGGCACACAAAGTGGCGGTGGTGCCGGGGGTCCACCACCATGCTGTCCTCGATCACGTCGTCCTGAAACGCCCAACAGGGCCACAGACAGCATCATTGTGTGATTGGAGAGTTTGGTGCCATGGCAACAAATCTCTATAAACAACAGCCTATCAGAATTTAGTAGCGAATTGCACTGACCAATAACCACATGATTCACCGCATCAACGCTCATCCACATTCATGCCTTGTAACACAACACATATTCGCACACCCTTACCTGTACAGAGGAACAAACATAAAATTTTTTGCAGAGATCATAAACTAGGGCTGCACAATACTGAAAAAAAGTGAATTGCTCTCAAACTGCAAAAGGAAAACATGACAACAATAAATGAGGTTAAAAATAAATAAATAAATAATTGATGCATGGACAAATGAAGTGACCCAAGCTTTAGCTGTGATCTGGTCGGAAGAACCAGAGATCAGGATAGCATTTAAAAAAAAATTAAGTAATTTCTATAATATTGGGCTATTTATAAAGCAAAAAATGAGTGCAACATCAATTTCTCAAAAACCCATCTAGTGATTTAAACAGCAAAGATGAAAATGATTATGATTGTCTCAGAGAATGCATGCAGCGCTCATGCAAAAGCAGCGGAGGTAAACTTTAAACTGATTTTTACACATATACTACATGATCTTGAAAAGGGACAATAATTAAAATTGCAAAACTTGATATTTTTTTCCTATTACAGAGTAAAAATGCTTTAGTGAAACTGTGCTATAATGTCCGTAGACAGAATTGAAAGTAAGAAAAAGTCTGATTTTAATCTAGCTGAGTGGCGATGTAAGAATTGCATATGCACAACATGCGATGTTGGTATCACACATCAGCCAGCCCTATAATATACAGTAATTTTTCAAATTCAGTACAAAATACCCCGCCTCCCACTGTGATGTCATTCAATGCCAGTACTTTCCTGTAGTACCAAAAGTAAGGTACCTGGTGCAGTGGGAAAGCACCCTTTAAAGAGAATGCAGAATTATGGGATGTTTGAGATTCTCTGGGGAAAAGTAGGAGTTCTTGTTTTGATCCAGCTGATGTGTTATTTAGAAATGAGATCACCTTTTTCAAATTGTGCAGCCCTATCATACACAGATCCGGTATCAGCTAAAAGATAAACCTACAAAATACAGTACTAGCCATCTGCCTGAAGACATGTTATCTAAATCTTAAACAAAATACAGCTGTTTATTAAATATAGTGGAAGCCTGCCATGTGGACTAATGCAGGGGTTCCCAACTCACTCATGAATCAAAATTTGAAATATTTGGGTCCAACCTGTGTGTATTTGTAAGACAGAAAGCATTACAGCATGAGTTCTGCATGTGTCAAGGTCTGATGCAGCTTTGCTGGTAACAGGTGGTGATATTTATCAAATCCACCATAATCTCAACCTGCATGCTTATCATAGCTTCTTTCTAGGATTTCAAGGATTACAGCTGATGGGCAGTACATCTGTCTTCAGCAAGATAACCACCAGAAACACACCTCCAAACTGTGTGGGAAGAAAAGTGAAGGACCACTCAAGACCTCAACTGTCTAGTCTCCAGACCTCAAACCCACAGAACTTTGGGATAATTTGGAGAACCCACAGGTTCCCTATGTCTCTGAATGGCTGGTGAAAAACAGGCAAGGCATGTTGGGTGATTTCCTGTCAAAACTTAACCAAATGACTTGTGTTTGTGAAGCTATTATAAAGACAAATGGTGGGTATTTGAGGAATCCAAGACAACTTTCTGGATATAAAATAGGAAAATATGCAAATTGCCAGCAAATGTACTTTTGACTGATACTGTATATACATAAAGCTATGACAGTGCTATGGCTAATAAACAGAGGGGGATATTTCAGGTCCAGAGAGTACAAATCCAGACCAAGATTTTGTTGAGTATAAAGAGTCACAGTTACAGAGTACTTACCAGGTTGGTTGAAACAAGAACTTGGTCTGGATTTGTACTCTCTAGACCTGAAATCCACCTCTGCTAATAAAGAACACTACGCTTTCATAATTTTTGCCACAACCAGGTTGTGTGCTCCACATGCCTTTACAGTGCCAACACACTAAATGAGATGCTCACACGGCGCGGCCCACAATGCCCCTCTCCATACCAGGCTCTTGACGAGGGCCTCCAGTTCCTTCTGGGCTAGCCGCACGGCTTCCTCGCGGCCCACGATGGTGATGAGCTCCTGCTCGGGGTCATCTGGTGAGGGGAAGATGATGCGGGCCCCCGTGCGGTCTCTCACGCGCCGGATGTTGGCCCCACCGCGGCCGATCAAAAACTTGTGGTACTCAGGCTTGGCCGACAGCTCCACTGTGAAGTTGTTGATTTGCTGGATAGAGTCGTGGCACGTCAGGGGTTAAAAAGAGCAGCAGGTGTGACGGGGGCATGCGCCGCAGTCATAATTTACAGCATGCGGCACCTTCGGCGCATCCCTTTCTCCGCTTTCCCTCCCTCCCTGGACTCTCGCTCACCTTCTCCTCAGCCAGCTGCAGCAGCTGCTTCTTGGCTCGTTCCACCTCGCCGGCAGGCCCCCGGATGGTGACCCGATCGGACCCAGAGCCCTCAGAGGGGAAGTGTATGTGCACGCCCCCGCACTCCTCCATGACCGAGCGCACCAGGCAGCCCTTGGATCCGATCAGCGAGTTGTGCAGCTTGGCAGGGATGGTTACCTCCATCTCCTGGATGTTTGCCTGTTGGCCATCACACAGAAGGGGAGCGTGGGTGACAGAAACTAGGCTACAGGCTGTCTAAGTAAAAGAGGTGGCACAAGTCAAAACAAAACGTTAAACATGAAATAGCAGAGAAACATTTTTAAACATTGTAGATAAAAAAAGAGGGCATCTTACCCATGTTCCCGTATGTGATATATTTAAAATACAGTGGTACCTCGGTTCTCGAACTTAATCCGTTCCGGACTCCGGAACAAATCCTAAAAAGTTCGAGTTCTGATCGAATTTTTCCCATAAGAAATAATGGAAAACCAATTAATTGGTTCCTGGCCCCCCAAAATTACACCTAAATATGTTTTTTTTTTTTTTAGCATTTAAACACAAAATGAGCAAGATAAAACCAGAGCATTTTTTTCTTAATGGCTTCCAAAACGATAAAGATCTTATACCAACATTACCCCTGTCCTGCCCCGATCGTCTGCTCCTTCCGTGTGCCACGCCCCCTCGTTAACCTCGTGTGGGATCCCCATGTGATTGGCTGTTTCTGGTTGTTGTCATTAGTCCTCTGTATTAAGTCCGCATTTCAGTTTGTTTCCCCAGTCCGGTCATTGGGTGCATTCGACTTGCTTACAGCGCTGGCTTAAAGCAACGCATTCTGATCCTGACGCAATGCATTACGGTTAGATGCATTGCGACCTCTCACCCGGCTGCACAAACTGGAACCGCCTCCGTGACGACACACCTTTGCCCTTATTGGCTGAAGAGTTTAGTTACATGCATGACGTTTGTATCCCAGGCAGTTCCGATGCGTAATCTGCTATTTCTCCTGAATATCACGTAAAGCAGTGAGAACTGGTTTTCAGTTAATTTACCTGGTAAAATAAAGTTTAAATAAATGACATAAATGCTCTAATAGTACACGTAAGTTAGTGGTTTATTTATTGTTAGTTACTGTAATGTTGCGCTGCTTTATTTGGTTAATCGCCCAATCTGTGAAGAAGGCATTCAAGTAAGAATTGCATTGTAGTATGACTCATTTCCTGGCGCATACAATTTATATTAGGTCAGCGTTCACGGTTCGACTTCTGATATTCAGATCGAGTTCTAGGTCAAACTGGTTTGTTCGACTTCCAAGAAATTCGAGTTTTAGTGAGTTCGAGAACCGGGGTACCACTGTATCTATTTCCAAAATTTGGACAAGAGTGTTTAAACAAACACAAGCTAAGATTCTATGGGAATTTTGCCTCTTCTGCGGGAACTGCTGAGAAATACAAATTTTATAATATGGTCGCAAGGGTTTCTAAATTTTTCCCCCCTATTTCAGCTTTTTTAAAGCTCAAGGCAGATGGACACAAAATTAACCCAATACAGCTAAATATTACTACCCTTGTTTAATCCATTAATTCATCCATTCTTTGTTTTTACAAGTATATTCTCGCTTGGAATTATGGGTAATGTGCATAACATGCTCTCTTGAGTGGGGTCCTCACACAGCCTTGCTGCAGTGCTCCTGCATCTTACCAGTTCCCTCTGGATGGCCAGGATACGCTCACGGGCGGCTTCGCAGTTGGCCCTCCGTCCCGTGATGACAATCATCTCAGAGTCACTGTTCTCTGTGGGCAGGTCAATCTTGGTGTTGGTCTCCTCACGGATCTGCATGGCAGGACCACAAGAAGATGCAGCTGAGATCTCTTCAATTCTGTATGTGACCGGGTTTGCATACTTTTCCCAGGCACACTCACCTTCTTAATGTTGGCACCCCCTTTCCCAATGATGTTTTTATGGAACTGCTTAAATATGGGGACGGATATGGAGAAGCTGTTTTCAATCTGCACAAAGAGGAGAGAGCAATGAGAGTGGCTCTCTGTATATTGGCCAATGGGAGAGTTGAGTTCTGCATACCACACGGCATTCTGGGACGGCGGCGCCTGGCTTGTACCAGATCAGCTATGAGCTTGTGTAAGAACTTTGAGCACTTCTCCACTTCGTTCTTGGGCCCACGCAGCTGTACAATGTCACTCTTTTGGGATGGATCGGGGAAATTGATGATAACCTAGGACAGGGAGGACATCAGTACAATGCCCAGCTTCCTGTTCCAAGTAAGAGTTCGGGAAAGATGAAGGGTTGGGGGCTGGCATTTGGGCTAGATACCTCAGGAAATTTGTCCCGCACTTCTTTGATCTTCTCTCCTTTCTGCCCGATGATGGTGCGATGGAACTTCTGATCCACGATCAGGTCCTTGGTGCGCTCATTTTCCTGTAGGAGCAGGACCATCAAAGGGAAGGAGTGGGGAGGTCAGAGAGAAACAAAGAGATCCTTCATAGTAGAATCTGATCTTACTGCTTACATCCACTATTTTTGTCCCTTCTGCTAGCTGTCATTCTACCCCAATGTCTGACGCCCATCATATTCTTACCATTTGCTGGGCCATGTCAATGTCCCCCCTCCCCCACCATGTCCTGGGCAACATCCTCTTCTCACAGCCCAATCTTACCATCAAATGGCCCCTGCCAGTGACCCATTTGCCCTCAATCCCTGCCCTCACCAATCCATTGCGCCATATCAGTGATGCCCCCCTCACCATGCGCTGGGCCATGTCGATGAGCTCTCGCCGTGCCAGCTGTACGCCTTGGGGGTCCCCTTCGATGCGCACCAGCCCGCTGCGCTCCGTGTCTTGAGGGATCCTCACAGAAACTTTGTACTGCTCCTTGATCCGGTTAACTGCAGTTTGAAGGTAACACTATCTGCTGAGCCATTCTGTGTAAGTGTAGTGACACACATGTAACTTCAGACACTGAGGGAGCTCCGTGCACACACTGTCCTGTGTGTGTGTGTGTGTGTGTGTGTGTGTGTGCGTGTGCACGGTGCATGTGTGCTTGCTGGTACTCACTGTTCGCCCCGTTCTTGCCAATCAGATGCCGGTGGAAGCGCTGGTCGATGTTGACCTCAGTGTAGTCCATCTTTACTAGCTGTGAGCAGCATGAGAAGCATCTTACTCACGGGTGACAGAAGTGTGACAATTCCATTTAATGAGAATTACTGAAGCGTTTGGCAGGTTACAAACTGCCTGTAGCTCCCTGTATCACAAAACACAGCACAGGTTCCTCTCACCAAGTCGTTGATGATTTCCTGGATCTGGGCCTGTGCCTGTTCCACCTCCTCCGTGGGGCCCTCCAGGCTAATCCTCTCCTCCCCATCCGTGAACTCAATGTGCACCTGTGCACAGGTCAGAGGTTGGAGTTCAGAGGTCACACCCCCCCTCCACACCACCACCAACACTCCACCACTGCACATCCTCACCTTGGGCAGCTGCTGCGTGATGCGGCTGATATTCTGACCTTTCTTCCCGATGATAAAGCGATGCAGCCAGGCTGGGGCCATCACCTCAACCACCATCACGCTCTTTGCCTGGATTGGATACAACAGAGAGACGTCGACTTCCCACCGAGTACCGGCCACCTCCAGCCCATGCCCAGACAGAGATGCCTCCAATCCAACAACCCATGTCATACCAATAGAAAAATCTATGGTAAACAAAAAAATGATCTGAACAAAACTACAACAAACATTAATAAAATATATCACCTTTGATACTTCACGTGTGACTCACAGTTGATATTCAGTTTCATGGCAGAATTATGTAAACCAAACTTTAACCATGCCAAAGTATCAAGGATTCATAGGAAAGACACCTACCTAAATAATGTTTTTAAAAGCCAACAACACCGATACACAGAACATAACAAAAAACCAAGTGCTTATATTGCAGAACTGTCTCCACAGACTTTCAATAAAACGGAAGCAGAAATGTCATTTTCAGAACAAAAGATTCACAGCAGTCTATTTTCCTTTGGGTGTGAAGGACATCGGTCACATGATGAATAAAGCTAACAAACCATTTCTTGTGCAGTTCAATTTTAATTTGAAGAAAAATGGGATTCATGGGCAAGGAGAAGAAAACAGTGGCTGTGTTGTGCATGAAAATGTTGGGTATGGGCTAGAATTGAGCAATTTGATAATATTATTGGTAATCAACGACAACAGACCAAATATTAATACCTGACCGTGACAAATTACATAGGCATTTTACACCTTTGTCAGGGCTACACACAAAGCAAGATAAAAAATTGTTACTTTTGGTTCAGCCTAGGTTTCAGATTTTTTTTTAACATAGCTATTACCTTTTAACTCATAGATTTGGAACAGAATCTTTTGTGCTAAGTTACTGTTAAATTTATTTATTTCACTTACTCCACAGAGATGAAAAAACTATCAGCATTGTTCAAAAAAATATCAGCATAAGGTCTGCTTACTGCCAGGTGAATGCATGCTTGTGTGTGTGTGTGTGTGTGTGTATGTGTGTGTGGGGCGGGGGTGACAGGTGTTGGACGACTGAATATTATGATTTATCACCATATTTTAAAATTAAAATATTTAAATATTTAAAATATTTTTTTTTAGACATTGCCCAGCCAGAGTATGGGCTCAAGTACATAAATGTTGCTCTCGTATTTCTCACCTTTGCGTACACCTGCGTCAGGGCAGGCCCCAGCTTGTCAGGCTCCCCGCGCAGGATGATGGTCTCCGAGTCGGAATCCAGTGGCGGCATCTCCACAGATACGCCTGTGCTCTCCATGATCTCTTGCAGCGTGTTCCCCTTGGGACCTACGATGTACTTGTGCTGAGACTTCTTCACTTCCACAGAGATTGTTGTTGTCTTGCGCTTCTGCGGAAAAAAATGAGAGAGGGGGAAAATGTATGAGAGTATGAATCTGTCTCTCTGCATTAATATGCACATCCTGGTCTGATGCCGTTTGCACCAGCTCTATATCAGTGTCAAAAACAATGAAGATAGCCTGTTGGAGTTAATGAAGATCAATCAGTTCCAGGAATAGCGGCAGAGACTACAGTTGGGAAGCTCAGTGTGCTGTGGGTTCGTCAGTCTGTACCCAGACACCCCAGTCCATGGTGTTCTATGCTATGCTGCAACCTCCATGTCAGGTGATGGATGTTTATTATATTACTATATTATTAACTCTGAATGCACATCCTGCTGCCTGATGCAGCTCCTAATCTCTCCATTCTGCTTCTGAATGTTACGGCGCTGAGTGGATGATCCTTTTGCCTTGACTAGGAGTTACTACTATTCTATACTACAATAAGGACAAAGCATTAGGGCCCCTGCCCTCATTCTGTCATTCCTCACTTCTAATCTCATTCAGTAACTGACCAGTTCCTTCACTCATCCATTTTCCACACACGTGCGGCTCTTCCTTCACCTTCTCCTCGTAGATGGCGCGGATGCGTGCGAGGGCCAGGGCCACCGCCTCCTTCTCGCCCGTGATGACGATCTCATCCTTGGGCAGGCTGGGTGGCGGGATGCTGATGCGAGCCCCCGTCTCCAGGCTCAACTCCTGTACCAGCCGATTGTAGGCACCCGCGATGAACGGGTGGAAGGCCTTCTCCAGCGAGATGCGCTCCACTGCCCGTTTGTCCTGGGGTTTGGTGGGGTTGAGCAGGAGGAGGTTGGGGGGAAGACAAACATAAGGGTTTGGTTGGAGTTGAAAAAAAAAGATGGAGACAAGATTAAAACAGATGAACAGACCTATAAAATATTTTGTGCAGCAACGCATTGAATTAATGCCACACGTATGCGGGTAACACAAAAAGTCTTGGGGGCAGTATGGTAAACTTGGCTGTGTTTATATACCGTACATTTCATATACGGTTCATCAGATTTTATTCTTTTTTTGGAATGAGTATCCAGAAGATATTTCAAACGGAATATTTTTAGAGGGAAGAGACAAAATATTCGGAACAGAATTGTGTGCCTCTGTGTGCAGCGTTTTCAAAATTTAATTACAGTTTAAGTTTCTTCTGTTTCCCAATTCAATCAGAGCTAAGAAAGCAGTGTCATATGGACCAGCGTCTCTCAAACTATGGGCCGCGGACCGGTGCCGGTCTGTGACGGTTCCTGCCGGTCCGTGGAGCCTCGCTTCTGCACCAATCAAAATTCAGTCAGATCAGGTCTGATGTCAGCGCTGCTGTCACTGCGTGCCCCTCCCCGCCCCCTGACTTCACATCCCGCCCCTTGTTTCAGCATCCTAGAATGTAAAGTGTTCTCGCCCTCATTCACTCCAAACTTTTCACAGACACACATGCGTTACGAGAGCTGTCAATAAATCATGGCGAGTCTGGATTCTTTCTTTCGGAAGCATCCATCAAATGATGCCGACTTACAGGATGAGCCAGATTCAAAAAAGCATCGCCCATCTACTCGAAATTACGACATTTCATACATTAAATTAATCTGTGTCATCTGCCAAGCTATGCTAAGTAACGAGGCTATGAAACCACCAAAATTATGCCGGCATTTGGAAACAAAACACGTTACATCTAAAAGATAAATCAGATGACTTCTTCTTAACGCTATACTAATACACATAATAATAATAACAACGATAATAATAATAACAACAGCCTAATTACTATATATCCATATATTTACTTGGTAATAATATATAATAATAATAAAGCACTCCTGTTAGGTCATGTTTAATATTGTTCTTACATAGGCATAAGCCCTAATAATACTAATAGTAATAATAACAGTAGTGGTAGTGGTGTAATAATAATAACAATAATAATAATAGTAATACTATCTACCTATAGTAATAATATCTATCTATGTGGATACGCATCCGCGGGGGGAGGGGGGGGGTTGTTTATGCAGGGCCCTGCAGCCCCAAAGCCTGACATGACTGGTCCCCAGGACAAATAAGTTTGAGAAACGCTGATATGGAAAAAGTACAATGAAATTCTTGCCTGAATGTATTCTCTGCAAAATACAGACAATTACCAAGACAGAGCAATGCTACAAAACAAAAAATACTAAGCAGAGCTGGGCGTTATTATAAACATTACAAATTATGCATATGCAACTGTAATACCGCAAGGATAGCAATAGTCAGCTGGGTCAACTGAATGGATATTATTCCTCGGTATAAGGTATTTTCATAATGTTATTTTTCAATACTGTTCTGGGATGTAGAAATTATCATAATAAGATGCATTTATGTTATAATTTACAATTCACAGAAACATTTATATTCTGTCATAGGAAACAAAACTTAGCAGGCTTTGCAATTTTAATGATACTTATCAAAATTATCTAGTATATGTTTAAATTTTTTTAATTTACCTCCACTTCTTTTGCACAAGCTCTGCATGCACACTCTCCACGTCAATCATTTTCATCCTTGCAGTTTAAATCACTCATAGACATTTTTGAGAAATTTATGTTGAACTCCTTTTTTGATTTACTTAGAAATTTTCCAATACCTGCCCTAGTATAATATACAAAACACTTTTCTTTTATGCTATTCTGATCTCTGGTTTTTCTGACCAGCTTGGGTCGTGTAAGCGTACGCATCGCGAACACCAAGTATAAACCAGCCCTAAGAATACCATCTTTGTTCCTATAGAGACTCCTATCTGTTTGCCTATCCTGATATTTGACCTTTGAACCCTGACCTGTTCTGCAGAGATGAGCAGGATCTCATGGCGGGCCTTCTCAATGCCCTCCTTGGTGCCCGTGATACGGATGTTGGCGCAGGGGTCATCAGGGCGCGGGATGGCGATCTTGGTGGCCGTCTTCAGCTCCAGCTCCTGCAGCTTCTCCCCGTTCTTTCCAATGACAAAGCGGTGATGCTCCTTTGGGATAGCAACTGTAGCTGAGGCCTGTGGGCCAACAGGGAAGAGCGTCATGACACACAAAACTCTGACACTGCTGTTGGGGCATGTAGGGACTCCAGTAAGTGCAGATGCAGATCCAAAACCGAACACAAATCTCATCAGAGTCGACCTGAACCCCTGAGAGTTTACATTGAGCATTTCTCATACTGTTTCAGAAGTTTTGGTCCTGATGAAGAAATGGCAGCACTCCTTCGTGACTCCAATGAGGTGACAGGAAAGGGGGTCACAGGAAGTACAAAGGCCATCTGAGACAGTTGTTCTGAGACATTTACTGGAACATGAGGTGATACACTAAATGATGCTCCCCCTGAAACGCGCTCTGATGATGCACATGAGGGGCAGGCACTCCTTGAAGACACCTTGAGATGCACATTAAACATCAACAGCAGTATATGTGGGCTACTCTTGGAGTTGGGTCTGTAAAGCTCCTAAATATGCTCCCCACCACCACCACCATACTGGACCTCCAGACATACCTGAGTCTGCAACCGCGCTACAATTTCCTTGCGAGCCTTCATGACGGAGTCCAGTTTGCCAGTGACCATGATGGAGAGGCCCTGGTCCTTAGCCAGAGACAGTTCTATGTGGGCCCCCGTCTTCTGCATGATATCCAGGCACACCTTGGCCTCCTCACCCTCACCAAACTGACTGTTGTCCTTGTAGCGCCGCTCTTCCAGGGGAACATGGAACACCTGACGAAGCAAGAAACACATGGACAGGGAGGGAATGGCACAAAAAACTGTCAGGTGACCGAGTAGGGGTTGCCTTGGCTACTGGGCCTCACTTGCGTGATGACGGAGGCCTTAATAGGCCGGATTCGATTCCAGGCCCCTGTGAGCTCGCCAGACTTCTCCCCAGGGGTGCCCTTCTCTGGGAGAGGGGGGAAAGCCTCCAGGTAGGTGGGGATATAGGCCTCATCTTCTGGAGCGCCCCCTGCAGGGAGATAATGTGTACAGCTCCAAGTTGTTGCCTTTCCTCAATTCTGTTTTAACTGGTGTTTTACCCTAAAGGCTACAATCTGAAATCTGAGGCCCTGATCCAGGTACAACCAAGGGGTGTAAGAAGAGAGAGCCTGAGCAAGTGCAAATCAAACCCCTAATAAATGGACTGTTCCGTCGAACCATACAGGAGCCAGTGTTAGGAAAAGAACACATGCTGATAGCCCAGCACTTCCCAAACATCGCTGTGCTTGCTAAAACAACATACACAGACTGACCTTCCCAGCTATTAAGCTCAAATTAGCACATTTCCTCCTATCAGCCGGACTGTCGCCATGGACACCAGCTCAGCTACCATTACCTGTAATTTCCTCGTCCCTGAGTCCACTGCGATGTTCAGCGAAGCTCTCCGGGGTCAACACGGCCACTGAGCTCATTGTTTAAACGTGTCCGCTATGAGGGAGAGGGGTGGGGGGAGGTTACAGCTCTGGGCACAAACCCCCTCCCCACAGAGAGCAGATGCACACAGCATGAGTGAGGGGCTGGGGACTTGTAACAAACAACACCGCTCAGAGATGAGGGATGGATCCTGGGGACAAAAACCAACCCTGTCGGGTGTGGTTCTCACATTACCAAAACAAACATGTTTTTAATGACTTTTCACACAAATAATGGTTAAACAGCCATGCCTGTCTCCCATTGCATTCCTCAGAACTCTGGATGAGGTCAAAATTCAACGCAGTTTTTATGTAACACTTTCACCAATTATACAGTACCTTTACTGCTCTAAAACAAAAAGTGTGTAACTCAAAGCTTTATTCTAGATCTATCAGAACTCATGTCCAGTGTCGTAACTGGCACCCAACAACCACTGAGAACTCTTGTGTTTCCCAACGCTGCTCAAAGACACCCACCTGCAAAAGGGTCAGTTGCCAGAAAGGTCCGTCCTGAAGGAGGCTACCGAAGGAGCTTCAGTGTCTGTCCTTGTGTGTGTGCACACTGTGTAGAAGAGTCATTACAATAACTCAAAGGGGAGACCACACATACCATTGCAATTTCAAACGAACACAAGCTTAGAGTTCATGAAGGACCCTGACAGTTGGGGACAGTGTTTGCTAACATAGCCATCACTCAAGTCATCCTATTTTTATGGAAGCTTCCTTTTACTGGCAATTACCCCTTACTTGCAAATACTACTTGATTTGAAAAAAATCCAAAGGCCAAGCATGAATACCCATTTTGATGCGGTAAAATACTCATTAAAGCATGACTTTAATATTAAAGCTTCCACTGCATAAATAAACCTGAGTGTTTTGGAAGAAACGCTTAATTAAGATCGGAAAAGCAAAGCAAAAGGATAACGTACTTTGCCACAGCCTTAAAGTTATACTTTTTGTAAGACCATAAATTTAAAGAGCTGCAGAATACCATCATCATGGTGATTGTAAATCCAACTAATATCTTAAATATTTTAATAGTGTCATGGGTGGCAATAGATGTTAAACTGATCTATTTAAACTTCACTGATTGTATGTAGATGCTGGGATTGGCTCCAGCTTCCCCGTGACCCAGACGGATACAGCAGTATAGAAAATGGATGGATGGATGGATGATTGTATGTAACACCACACATTAAACACCTTATTTTCATATCATGCACAAAAAGTAAAATCTTCTTATCTAATAAAATTCAATACTTTTTTTTAGCAAAACCTGAAAACATATACACACACAATGTCATTCAAAATATTACATTATGCATATAAGCATTTTCTTTGAAAATAAAAGGCTCTTTTAGTATTAGAATACAGCCCAGCCTGCAGTAATTGAAAGTGAAAGACAAAGTACTCCACGGAAAGATGTTTATTAGCAATGTCCTGTTGCAGTTATGTTATCATCCAAATGTGTATGAATCATGGCCTGGATCAGCAAGCCCACCAAAAGGTCACTGCTAATTTCAGCAGTACTTTGAGTTGTTGCAGACAGTCCAATCAGCTCTGTTAATTATGAATCCTGACAGCGCATGCAGAGACAGAAATGGCTCCGCCTCCTCCTGTCACAGGTGTTAATGGAATATCCGTATGCCACACCTACTTCAGCTCATTAACCAGCTGATTTGCTGGAATATCACAACTGGCCTCAATTTCCATTATAGCAGGATTGCTGGTGCACGTTATCAATGCTACTTGCCTGCCAAGGTCTACTGGCTGCATATTTACAACTGCAAGTCAAACATCTGTAGACCAAATTTGGAAAGAGAAGAAATACTAACAGTTCTGTTTCAATCTGTAAATAAAATCCAAATGTAAATATATTGCATAAAAACAAATACAATGTAACACAGAAAGTAGGATGAGATGAAAAAACAAAATGACTGGGGGTTAAAGAAAAAAAATGGGAGGAACCAAACCATAACATGAATGCATGATGTGTGGCTCAGTGGGTTAAGCATCTGTGCCTGTGATTGGAAGGTTATGGGTTCAAGCCCCGCCCTCAGCCAAATAGTCACACTGGCCCTTGAGCAAGACCCTTAATCCCCTAAAATGCTCCAGGGGCACTAGATAAGTGGCTTGACCCTGCGCTTAGACCCCAAGCTTCTCAAAGGAAAGCAAGATGGATATGTAAAAAGAAGCATAATAATTTGCAAATGGCAAACAATGGATCATTTCATTTCAAGCTGGTGATAGGTCTGTATTTGAACTGATTTGAACTGAGTTCTGAGGAGCCATTTGACTCCTTTGAAATTCATGGGAAGAGTGCAGCTAGACACAAACCAACAATCATCTGTAGAGACAATTTAGCCCTGATTATGATCCCTTTGATGGTTATACCTTTATCTTATACACAGACACACTGACACATGCACACTGCAGCAGAGAACAACAAACAAGCTTTCTTGCAGTCACTTCCACAGAGGGTTAAATGTTTCGGGTCCCCAGGTGTCCCCACACCGTCAGCTGGGAAGTTACAGAAAAGGACGCAGCTATGGATAGCCTCATTCTGACACTCAGGGGACAACCAGGCTAATTGGTGCCTCTGCTGGGCGTTAAGGAATAATCCCACCCAAGAGGAATCCTCACTGCTGCAGCAGAGGATAAGCTTTGCCTGCTTTATGACCCAATATGGCCTACCTTCAAGTCCAGCCTACAGCACGGACTGCAGCGTTTCTGGTGGGGCAAACAAAGAAAGCGTCCCGGTGCTACCACTAGACTGACAGAGTCCATGTTTTCAGTCCTTTAGCAGCTGAAAACTTATGTTGGCACATAGAGTGTAAAATGAGATTTTCTTGTGGGGGTGGGGACGGCTACAATATGACACTATAAACTCCACAATGCTGGCAGCCCCCTCTGTCTCACACACACAAATACAGAGCAAAAACAAAATACTTTAGTAGTACAACAGCTATACTACACTATATTACCACACAGGCACTACATCATTGTCAATTGCCCTTGAATTAAAATAAATGTTATACAATTGTAGCAAACATTGTTAGATCCAGCAGAATATATTCTTTTTTAAAAAATATACTTTTACCATATTACTTTCCAGCAGATACTATACTAATACATTATTACATTTACAATAATTGCATATTTTTCCAGTTAAAGTACATTCTCTTTAGTAAGACAGAGGTTCATATTGAGACGCACCTTTAAGAATGATCGTTTTTGTGCACATCAGTTTCTCTTCCGTTAAACAAACAGTCCAGCTTAAACAGTAAAATAAACGCGTTTAGAGGAAATAACTATTGGTCACGTCCATTTATTTCTGGAAGGATTTCCGTGCTTGAACCCACAAAAGTAACTGAAAACGTGTATTCCACAACCAAAAGAGGTACATTTTAAAAAGGAAAGAACTACATGAAGCTTTAAAAAGACACATGCAAAATACTACATTAGACTGCAGTATAACGAGCACGTTAAAATATTGTGAGCATAACATGAACAGCAGCTGCAGTGAGAACCCTCCAGTTCGCCACCATGGACAGCGCCAGCTGTTTCTTTCACACGCTAGAGCACGCTGATGAGGTGTGTCAGACTACTCAATATGTCCATCCCTTAATGCAGCTCAGGAATTTTGTTCAATTGTACATCGAAGCATCAATATATCGAGCCCTTAATTCAGCATCCGTCAGTATGTCACGGTTCCAATGTATTATCTCAACGCCCATGATCTGACACCATTCGTACACAATCGTCATCACCGGCAGGAATGCACAGTATGATTGACTGACAATTTAAAAAGCATGCCTTAAGAAAACGACGCACACAAAACCCAGAAACTTGCAGCACCAACATTTTAATCGCACCTACTCGATGACGCAAGGTTACACGCTGAACTAAAGCTAACCGACAAGCAACATGACTGGCGTAAGTGTGAATGGCACTAACATGAAAGATGTGCCTTAAGGAAACTAGGAATGTTTTCCAAAAATCAGACAAATAATATAACAACACCTCTGCTATCGAAAAAGACAAAAAAATCAACACCCTGCTACACTACCTCGTCCCTCGCCACTCACGAAGCTAGCTAGCCATGGAGAATGGTCGCAATCTAACTAGACTGCAAGCACATCCTCGGGAGGCATTAGTCCTAAAATAATACCTAGACATCTTACAGCATAGAAAATAAAAAACATTAGGATTGTGCTCGCTATAAAAACTGGGGTCATTATCTGATATTAGTATACTGTCTCTGTCCGCCTTCGGGCCCAACCTTAAAACCCCAGCCGCCTGATTAACGTCGCTGGCTAAAGGCTAACTCCGCTAACCCGCTACATCACTTCGTGCTATACCTGTCTAGCTGGGGACTGCACCGGGTACTGAGTCCGACGCTGTTGGACGCCGGATATGACAACAGGCTAAGTAAGTGACTCGAGTGAAGTGAAGTTAGAAAAAAGGCAGCGGCTGCCTCACCTTCAGCAAAGAAACGTCCAGCTTGGCCGAGACTCCCCGCCAGACAGCGACCGCTGCGAACACCCAAACACGCGCACGCGCTCGCGCTCAGCCTCGAGCCGCGCAGTGATTCCACGCATATTGACGTGCGATGCTACCCGCGACGTCAGTAAGGGTACTACTCCTTCCTCCACGAGAACGCCGCAGTATTTACTCATTGATGTAATTCCCAGAAATACAGCCTTTTGAGTCACAAATCAAGTTAACTTCAAAATATCCCAAATAATTCATGTTTAATGCATGACGGCTTCTTCTGTTCAATGCATACATTATAAGATGCTCAAATGTGCAACACTACTTCACACAGCCGTATGCCCAAAACGGCGAACTATTACAAATAGTGCAACTTAAGAATTTTTTGTTAGTGTTGTCAACCATTTGACCGGAACTACTTTCCATTCAAAAAGAAATGTAGGCCTAGTACCAGTACTAGGATAATATTCACAATAACACGATATCACCGTTTTATCATCACAGCACAGTTAAACCATTCTGAAACTGCAATAAAGGTATAATACTACAATATAATCAGAATAATACGAATTTGAGATACTGCCGGAATTTCCACAAGAAATCTTAGTAGACCTATTTACAAAATTAATTCCTTACCAAAATGCTAGGAAAATGTCTAGTTCAACTGCCTTCAATCTGAAAACAAAGCTGCAAGACTTGTGAACTGACCAGTCCAAAATTGTATGAACAATCTTAAAATGTCAAAATATCACCAAAAGTGTTGCTAGTCCAATACAGCTACTATTTCTATTCCAACCAAAAATTCCAAATACTTCTAATGTTCTAATTACTACTGGATTTTTTTTAATTATACAAACTTGGTTGGTATAATGACTCAGTGAACAGTATCATTGCCCAACACCTCCAGGGCTGGGTAGTTTCATAAAAGTATTATCAATTATGTCTTAAAGCCTTTCTTCAGAAAGTACATTCATTTTTGAGTCTCTAAAATTAGTTGATAATTATTAAATTGTATATAATTATAATTTATTTCAAGATAAATGTTTAGATCACTTTTCACATTATTTTTGTTAAATATGTAATTTTACTTGCACTTTTTAGTACAGATAATGTGAAATTCATGTCTACTTCTTGGTAGTCTTATGGTTTTGTATTTCTGCTTAAAATAAAATCCATTCACCTGTGGGCTGGTGTGCAGCTCAGCATCTTAGTAATCAGTGTCTATATTTAGAAGGTTTTGTGTTCCAAGCCCATGGGTTGCAGAGTAATTATATCATTGCTGGGCCCTTCAGCAAGGCACTTAACTTCAACTACTCCCAGGCAACTGGCCCTGTATGCAGCACGAGGCTGAGATACATCATGGTTGAGATGCAAGTCCAAGGCAAGAAACATCCATGCACATATTGCATTCACTGTAGTATATTATGGGCCATTTCGCATAACTGTATCCCATTGGAGAACCAGAGAAAGCCACATGAAACAAGCTGCAAATTTCACACTCGCTGAGGAACGATGGATTCGGGATGTGTCCCAAACAAACAAATCCGTAGTTTATCCTTCTGGAATTCAAGTATCGTTCATAGAATGTTGATATCTTACCGCTAGGTGGAAGCAAATATTTTAAAAGCAGTAAAGAAACGGAATAAGGTGAGAAGACAAACGTTTAAATCGTCAAAATAAAAACATTGAAACAGGCTACTATAAAACAGTTCTCCAACAAATTCCACATACTACAACTAATAGTCAATTATTTTACACATAATAATTTTGCATAATTCCTGTTAAGTTCCGTTCTCCTGATGTTTGAATTCCAAACAATAGCGTAAAGCGCTCCACCTTTTTTGTGTGTCCAGAATAACACCCGCTAGGCAAGAGGAGTGAGCAAAGAGGGTTGGAAGTTGCCCCAGGGCCGGGAAGAGAGTTTCGGCCAATAGCAAAAGGAAACAAAGACCTCAACAGCAATCTGATCAATTACAGATAAGACCGAAGAACCAATGAAAGCAAGAGACATACAGATAAAGCACGTTTGCTCTTGAAGGCGGCGCTGCTCTTGGCACCGTACGCCTTTTTATGCTGTAATGGGGAACAAATAATTATTTTCCCACAAAAGTTCACATCGAATGATCGCACATTTCCACTGTTTTGGATTACGCCTATTGTCCATGGCGCAGCGTCGGACTCGCCGTTTGGATTCGTCTCGTTTTTGAAAGCGCGATCAGAAAGGTAAACGACGCTTTTTAAAACCATTTGAAACCCCTTTTCCACTGCGTAAGAAATGGAGCGACTGCGGCTTCAAACTCGGTGAATGGCAGCCGATGTTTCGCACGTTGAGAGTTTCTGCCAGCGACTTTTTCGCATTCTGATCGTAGAACAGACAATGGAAAATGAGGCGTGCTGTCCTGTTGGGGGGAAAAAACTTTAAAAAGCCTGTTGTAGTTCAATAACAAATCTACGGTTGACATTTAGATGGTATTTTATGTAATGAGAGAACTATACTAAATGAAATCACACGAGATCGAATTCCCATTAGTCATTGATGAGCCTATTTCAGTGCGTGAGGTTGCAGCGTATTCCATAATTTATGTATTAAGACTTTATTAGTGCCTGTTTTGTCTGATTGTAATTCATACATTAGTTTGAGTATGATGATTTTTTTAACTCACAAACTAGAATTCGTCAGAAAGCGATACTCGTAAGGACGCTGTTTGATTTTAGCCTGAGACTGATTTGCGCAATCGAGTAACTAGTGAAACTTTTAACATTTTACATTATTTGTGAGAGTAGAAGTTGTTGTTTTTAACTTTACGTCTAATTTAGAATTTTTACCGTTTTGGAGAGCCGTGAAAGTGAACAGATTCCTTCCTGCGTCTTTCCTCCTTATCATTTCAGCACTATAATGATTTGCATCTTGCTCAAGTTTCGCAGAGTACTCCCAGTTCGTATATATAAAAAATATTTTGTGTATTTATCTTTCTTTGGTCTATGAGCTTTAACATGTGCGGAATGTGTGATCGCTGCTGCCATTGTCAGTGTGGAATTTCCATGTGATCTAAGACGTAAAGACACTGTCGTCCTACCATCGTGCTGTTTCAGCCACCCGAGCTTCTAAGTTTATATTGCAAAGCAATGTTGTTATTAATATTATAATTTATTTATTTATTATTATTTATTATTATTATCCAATACACGGTCGCGGTATGCTTGGAGCATACTCCAGGAAGCACAGAGGTCGAGGGCGTGGACACCCTGCAGGGGATGATGGCAATCACACACCGGTAACCTACCTCGGACATACGTAAACGACATTTTTTAGGACCCGGGGTTGAACAAGAAGAGTACACAAAGGGAACCACGGAGGTACACAAAGGGAACCACGGAGGTGTGTGTCCACCATGCCATCCATGCTTAGTCACGCAGTGTTGTATGAAACATGACAGGTAACTTTGTGGACTGCAACACCCTTGAACTCAGGGGCGGACATACATAAGACACGGGTAGACAGCCGCCTGGGGTACCCGAAAACTAGCGGCCCATTGAAGATAGAATTTCCAAAACTTAAATTTAGGGTTAGACCATAATATGATCATTTAAATGATAGCTACATGTATGTGATTTGCATTTTTAGTGGTACTTGCTCCCCCAACCCAGCTGTAATGGACTATTCCTACTTTTAGCGCTACCCAGCTTACTTTTACCACTGGAGTCCACTAGTTGTTCACTGCCAAGCGAACTGCCACAAGGATGCAATACTTACATTACATCTCCATTGTTCGCTACTGTCTATCTAGAGTGGGAGACAACTTGTGAAAAGACGCGGAGAGAACACAATCTAACGAACGTATGCAAATAAATCAAGACTAACCTGAGCAAAAGAGGGAACGGATACGCTTCTTAAATCGACCGCTCGATACTCCGGAGCGATACCCGCCTCCCCACCCCCCGTCAGCAAACTTTACCGGCAGTATTCCTGCCCCTACCCCGATCGGTAAGTTTTACCGCTGGCACCCCGCACTTTGAATGGCATATTATTGATTGTTTATAATTCCCTCCTCCTCTTTATGCTTAAAAAATATTTCCAATGGCCCACTTAGGCACCCCCTACCCATGTCAGCCTAGTCCCCCCCCCAGAGAAACGAGTACCCCCATAGTACGCCCCTGCATAAACTCTAATGTAGGAACTGAGCAAAGTATGGACGTGTATTTGTGCTGCGTACATCAGGAAAAGATGAACAGTCGGAGAAGCTGAGATGTACCAGAGAAACAGGTACATAAAGGTACTGTGAGGAAAAAATGTCGAAAGCTAATCAGGTTCTTTTAATTTATTGTTAAATTGATGTCTAGTTAGCAGTATTTATTATTATTATTATTATTATTATTATTATTATATATTCGTATTATAAGGAAACGTTAATAGAGTAATTTATCACAGATTTGTTGCATAAAATAAACTATGAAACAAACTTTATTTGCTATTTAAACATGTTTTAAGCCTGTGTCCTCATAGCTAGCCCAGTGTCAGGTCTGTGAATGTGGAGCTACCATTAACATTTAATATCTCATAAATATTAAATTCCCCTGATTGGCAGCCCAACCCAAACTGTCAATCATCTTTTAAAACCCACCGTAGATGGGAGAAGGGAGGATCTCATCCTGCAATGGGCAATGGCTGTGGAAAAGGTTTCCCACCTTCTAACAGCAACACTGACAAAATATTGGTGATCAGGTGTCTCAAATGATGTCATTCATATGCAACTGACGTGATGCGGTGGCCTTGCAGTTGGTCCTGGGGTCTCACACCTCGACGGCTGGGGATTCTGTTCAGGTCCCTCATCCTGTGTGTGTGGAGCTTGCATGTTTCTCCGCTGTTTCTATGCATTTCCTCCCATAGTTGAAAAATGAGCAATCAATGTGTCCGATTGCCTGTGTGAGTGTAAGTGTGTGCTCCGTGATGGACTCGCATTCTGCCCAAGGGTATCTGCCATCGCATATCCAGGGCTGTGTAAATTTCAGCAAACTGTGAATTCTGACTGGTGTCTGCATTTTTCAGCATCAGTTCTAAGTGTGCATATTCTTATTAAGGAGAAAAATCAGCCTGTCTAATGCTTCTAATGATCAGACTGTATGACTGCGAGTTAAAGAATTTTGTTCACCTTGAAAATGCGGTATTTTATCAAAAGATTAAAATCAAAATAAATTCAATGGTATCCAAATAATTATAGGACGTTATAGGATAATCCCTGTCTGGTTAATAAAATATGCTTTGATAATAACTATTCAATATTCAGGAAGTGTATAAATATTATACAATCAGTTGTCCTGAGGTGTGATTCCTCTTTGTATTTTAGAGCCAAAGGAAATTATTTCTATTCGGTAGGCCCATTTTCTCAACTATACCTGCTTTATATTTAAAACTTTAATGATTAATGATAAATAATACATGTCATTGTGCAGTCATACTTATCAGACAAGTAAAGTAATGTGAGTCGGTTAGCTAGATTCTAGCCCATGCGATATTTTGCCCACATGCTGGTTGTTTCTTGTCATATAGAACAGTTATTTAGGCAGTTTAATTATTTTACTGGGTGTAAACAGACACCAGTCACAACCTGTCCCTGAAACATGCAGGAAATAGATTCCTGGGGATAGAGGAGTATGACTGCTTGTACGGTAATTCCAGGAAATCCGTCCGGCAGTCTTAACCTGACCTGCAGGAAAACTAGTGAATCACACCGCAGCATTTTAGATGCATTTTTCTAAAAAAATTGAGATAGCTTTATGGTAAATAGCATTTTTTCCTTGTTGTAGCTGGATATTTTACTGGAGGATTTTTAGAAAAATTGTGGAGGAACACAAGACCTCCCAGGATCTGAACCAAAAGCCTTCAGATTACTATGTCTCCTCACCCATCTTGCTACCTGCAGCAACAGCAGCGTTTTAGAGTTAAGTAGCTTTTAACATGAATTACCTTGGATGATACGTGCAGGAGGAACATGGTTTGTGTGGTGGAGCAGAGAGATCTAATTCGCTTGTGTGGTATTCAAACACACACACAGATCCACCACACACTCAAGTACTGTTATTTGTTTGTTTTATTTATTTAGCAAGACGTTTTTGTTTATTTAGTGACATAAATTTTTCAGAAAACAGGCTTAAACAATTCCTGGAGCATTTTAGCGTTAAGGGCCTTTGATCAATGACCCAGGTTCACACAAAATCACTCTACTGGCTCCAGGGTTTGGGCTGGCAACTTTTCTATTACCGGCACAGCTTCCTAACCACGTTGACCCATACACCGGCCCCACCCATAAGCTTTGAATTGTAAATATGAAGGACTAAAGGGTACTAACCTGGCTGTGAACTGGACAAGGAGATATACAGCTCTAGAAAAAAAATTAAGAGACTACTCCATATATTTAAGAATCTGCATTTTTTTTTGGTGATTAACATTTTTTATTAGAAGATACAAGAAATTTTACACTTACAACGTATCATGAACATATAAACCGCACAGTACAGTACGACACAAAGATTACAAAAGAAGCAGACAGTGACCATAATCGATTACAGGGAGCTGTTACAGATTGAGATTCCGAAAACATGCAGAGCATTCCCCTCATTACATCAAATTAAATTTAAAAAAGAGTGCCTCATACCAGACCTCTAAATTTAACCATGGATCTTTTGTTTTCCAAAGTCTTGAATGGACCACGTCATCCACGACCAAGCCTGGATGGTTTTGGGTTTGGCCTTGTTAAGGCTTCAGTTGAGTGTACAACTGCATGTGATGTACTGAAAAGCAGTTAATTAATATTGTGTTAGAGGTACATTAGGGTAGAACCAAAATCTTCATATAGCTGGGCGCCGCTACAGGTGGCTGTCCTTCGCAGACAGCGTGCTCCACAAAGAGCAAGTTGAGGGAGGCGTAAAAAGAATTTCCCCATGAGGGACAATAAAGGATTGATTATTATTATTATTTTGCTGCAGTGAGTCCTGCAAGGAGCAGTCTATGCTGAGTGAAAGTGAGGGATAGCTGTGAATCGTCATTGAGAAGACAGAGGCAGGGGTTGGGTTGTATGTTCTTAGTAAGTAGTGAGGATATTATAGAAAATATCTCATGCCAGAAGGTCTGATTGTAATGCACTCCCAGAACATATGCATTGTTGTACCAAGTGCCTGATCTGGGCAATGAGTGCAATTAGGGCTTGAGAGTAGTTTCATCTTAAAAATTTTAGGAGAGTGGAGTATGCTCTGTGTATGAACTTATAGTGTATAAGTTGATGTGTGAGATTTTAGCACTATTTAGGTTCCCCCCAGATATTCTCCCATAAAGGCTCTATACCAAGTGTGTTCAAATCCCTTTCCCACACCCTTTCTATAGCTAGGTCTTTGGAATGATGGTGAATTAAAGTATTATAAACTGTTACAGTCCCTGAGCACCATTTGGGTTCAGTCCACTTCTCCATGGGGTGCTCTGGAATCGGCTGACTCCAGAACACCCCATATACTTTCATCGCGGACCTCAGTCTTAGGTAGAGGAAGTATGAAGTATCAGACAGATTGAAATCAGTTTTTATGTCTCGAAACTACAACGACAATTGGGGAAATTGTCTTTACGCCTCCCTCAACTTGCTCTTTGTAGAGTAAGCTGTCCATGGAGGGCAGCCACCTGTTGGGGCGCCCAGGGAGCTGGGGGTTAAGGGCCTTGCTCAAGGACCTGCAGACGTGCTGAGGCTGGGTTTGAACCAATGAAACAAGTGCATGGCAGTATTATCTAATAAGTCACCGCAAACATAGACTCATTTATGGGCCCATGCAGAGAATGAATGACTGAAGATGATAATTCTTTCATAATGGAGATGTTTTATGAAATATTCTTGTTACACCCAGTAATTTTCCAGACATTAAGAGAGTTAACTATGATACTCCCATAAGAGCTGAATGGTTTTACGACCTATGCCTGTATAGGGCTGGTCCTCTGACCGGTGTGGTTTTACAGGTTCTGCCTCGAGAAGCCTGCTGTCTCCATACCTGCAGTGGTCTAATTTGGAAGGCATAGTAGTAAAAGTTTAAATTTGGGGCCGCCAGGCCTTCAGTCACCTTGCTTCTTTGTAAAGCTGCAAGTTTAATTCTAGGACGTTTTTCTCCCCGAATGATTTGTGAAATGATGGAATGCATTTCAGATATGTATTTTGGAGGGGGGAGCAAGGGGAATCATAAAGAATGAAAAATTTATACGAGGCAAAATGTTCATTTTAATAGTTGAGCCTTGCATGCCGACTTGAAGAGAGTCCTGTCTTTTTAGGTCATGTGCTGTTTTCTTTTCTACCCCATAAAAGTTTTCACTGTCTGTTCTATGGAGATTAGGATGAATTTCTATGCCAAGGTATGTAAAAGATGTACAGACCGGGATACCAGCTGGTAGATGGACCTTTTTAGCAGCTAAATTTAGAGGGAGAAGAGCAGATTTAGACCAGTTTGCTTTATATCCTGCCATATTATGAAAATTGTTAAATAAGGTTGAGGTGTGGCAGAGAGTCCCGAATATTAGAAAGAAAAAGAAGACAGTCGTCTGCATACAACCTGAGGTGCTGTCTACAGTGGTCAGTAGTAATAGGTGATTTCACATCACTTCCCTGATGGCTTGTGCCAGAGGTTCAAAAGACAAAGCAAATGGCAGAGGTGAGCATGGACAGCCTTGTCTTGTATCTCTATGTAAATTAAAGGCTGGTGAATGCAACGTATCAGTGAGGACACGAATCGGCATTTTTAAACCCTGGTTTAATCCTGGTTCTGCTGGCAGTAGGCTATCCTGCGAGGCAGAGGCTGCTTCTAGGCTCAAAGTTTCTAAGACGGCAATACACAAGAACTAAGTGAAGCAGGCGATAATGGCGATGACCAAAGACCAGCCAGATAGAGGGCAGAAGCAGCTTTCTAACGCCAGAGATGACTCAACTAATCTGGGGTGAGTTTCCCGAAGCGTTCTTAACGCTACGTCGTTCTTAAGTTCTGTGTTAAAAGATAGAACTAACGAACGACGTAGCCTTAAGAAGGCTTCGGGAAACTCACCCCTGATGGTTATCCCCATGAATCAGAAGATGACATCAAGTGACCTTCAAAAATAATGGGAAATATTAAGTGTAGGTAGGCAGTGCTTTGTAGGTGAAACAGCCTAGCAGCCACGCCGCATGAGAGTTACCTGGCCCTACAACGATTTGGAGAACTGCTTTGATTTATTCCTGTTTTGCGTGACGCACTTCTCCCTTAATTGCAATAAACAAGTGCTACCTGTTTGTCCTTCTTCACATTTTGTCGACGTGTCTTTCTGGCACCTGTAAAAAGTACAAAGGGGTATTTCCTGGACTAAAGTTGTGATGTAACATTTACAGTAATACTGTCATTGAGATTAAGTAAAGTATCTGAACAAAATGTGAATGATTTTGTCTATATATAACTAAGCTGTCATCAGTTGCATATGTTTGAGTATATGAGTACCTCTATATGTTTGAGTATATGAGTACCTCTATATGTTTGAGTATATGAGTACCTCTATATGTTTGAGTATATGAGTACCTCTATATGTTTGAGAAGATCTTATATTCCTATAAGGATCAGATGGCAGTTTTTGTTAGTCAGTGCTTGAGGCTGTTTGGTTGATATTGTAGTAGTGTCACTAAACCCAGGGTCCATACTAGCAGGGGGAATGGATTTCTTGAGAGTCTGGCTGCTGCAGCATGTCCCAACCAGCTCACTTGCTAGGAAAACTCGTCTGACAGGTCACCTGTTTACAGCTGCTTGAGGGAAGATCAGTGTCCATAAAACCGGCAGCAAGAGTAATATTTAACTACATGACTGCCAGGTTTCTAATGAAATTGAAAATGAAAGCAAGCTTTCAAAGGTGCATTTGTAATGCTTGAACAGACAATATCTTGAAGTGATTTCTTTAGTGGATTTTTTTTTAAGTTAATAGTGGCTGCTTTAGAAAATTCTGTCTTTAGCATGCTAAGTTTGACTCCACAGACGAGTCGAAAAGAGATTTGAATATTAATAATCTGACATAGCAGATGGGAGTTTCTGCACCTATAGGCGACCTTGGTGCTCTGAGTCTGAACCTGGAGAAATGACCAGAGACCAGGAAGCTGTGATCTCAACACCAAGAATTTAGATGGAAGATATAAATGAAGTATATCCCCCTCCCCCCCAAAACTGTTAAGGAAGGACAAACAGCACAAGATCAGGCAGGTTTTCATTTGTAAACTGCTGTCATCGCTGAAAACATGAAAGATTAGAAGTTTACCAATTGTCTTCTGCTAATATAGTGACGGCTAATTGGGTCAAATTGGAAAATCTTCCAATGAATTGACGTCACTTTAATCCAGTCAGCTGATAAAACCTCAAACTGTCATCTACCCAACACATGTTGTGATTACATATTTGTAATATGAAACTTTTTTGGTACCCCTTTCTCTCCAGAACTTGCACAGGGTTATACCATTGGGATAGCTTCTTAAATGCAGAGAGGCTGTTATTTGACCCAACATGGTTTCCGAAACCCTGTCGGATGACAGCTATGCAGTCTTTTTAAATGGGTGGAGCAGAGGCTCAAACATCAGGCTATTTAGTTTTCTCCTTGGCTTACGTTCACCAGATACCAATCTTGTTTTATTGTTTTATTAATATTAAAACCCATATTCCATCACATGGACATTACTATATAAACAAAAGAGTGCCCTTCCCTGTAGTAGAAACATGACAGCCATTAAAAACCATCATAATGGATCTAAAATGGTTTACATATATAACTAAAAATTGGCAGTAATTTGGTTGTTGGACAGCTTTTCTTACTGAACTGTATTTCACTGTTTTCTTATACAGGAGAATATGCACGGTCCTTTGTGACATCTGACATCTCTCTGCCCCCTAACCAGTGTGGCTGGGAGGTGGGAGGGGCCAGAACAATGTCTGTCCCTGAGCCCCCTATCCAGTCTCAGGACTCTGTCTGTCAGATACCGGACCGCAAACCGCGGCCCAGCATCCCGAAAAAGCCCGACTCCGAGAGCCTGCCGCCGGCCCAGTCGCCTAAAGAGGTCTCCAAGGTCGCGACCTCTGGGAATGTCAAGAACATCGTGAGCAAGTTCAACCGACAGCGCACCTTCGGAGATGAGCAGCCTACAGAGGGTGGGATGGACCCTCCGCGTAAGCCCAAGAGGGCCCCAACTGTCAGGCCTAAGCCCAGAGTTCGCAGCCGGTCCGCGCGTGCGAGCCAGACACCCCCACTGCCCGCCAGGAGGAGCCGCATCTTCCAGAAGAGCTCTCCAGAGGCTCCGGTGGAAGCTCAGGTGACAGAGCCCCCTGCCAAACAGCATGAAGGCCGGCAAGGTAGGTCTCTGACACGCCCTTCCAGCTTAACTTTGGCCACATTAGTCATGGCTTTCAGCTCAGGCAGACAGGTGCATGGATTTTGTTCTGTTCACCTGAGCCAGTTAATCGAGTTTGAAGGAGAAGGCGTTACTAGCATTAATGGAATCTCTATCCAGCAGCGTTACTCTGCATGGTAAAGAGCACATGCTCTTAATTGTGTTTACAAATGCTACAGTAAAAAAAACCCATCCATTGATAAAAGAATTGTCGGGTAGCTATCTCAGACAGCACAATACTGCCTCTGTTAACACGTTTTTTGGACCTTTGAGCTTGGAAAATTACTCCTGGCCTATTTACGTGGCTGTATGCGCACGGCACAGTTGATAGGCCCACGGCAAACTGTCACCCCTTTCCTAGGCCGTGAGTTCAAGGAGTGGTATGTAAACACACTTCAGCTTTTCAGGTGATATATTACTACCAAGCAGGAACCAGTGCTGTCAGCCCACTTTTGATTAAAAACTGCACAACGCTGTTATCGAGGTAATGGAGGGTCTCACTATAAATGATGTTTTGGCGGGACGTTAATGGGCAAGAGGCTCATGTTAGTCTGAGGAAAAGGCCCTAGCTGTTGTACCTTTGAGTAAAGACCTTGAGATGAGGTTCTCTGGTAAAATATGCAGCAACATAAATGGGTAAAACTGTGAGTGAAAGGAACATGTTATTTGTAGAGCAGTGATTATCTATCACTGGTCCATGGCCTTGTAGCAGGGAAATGCAGTTTGGTCCATAACGGGTGTGAACCCAATCGCCACCTGGACGAATCCCCCAGTGAACAAAATTTACCGAGGGGATAGGGCTGGGTGATATAAACGATATATCGACATATCGTCAGAGGAAGCGTTAAGCATGGGTGATTAAAGTGACAGCTCAGCAACTACATCATCTTTCACAAAGGAGATATTGTGTATAAACAAGGGGAAGAGATGCCATTGGTACTTCTTGCACTTTAAATTTTGACACACAACAGACTGGTGATGTGTACTGGGAAATACTGTGTTTATTTCACCCTTTGAAGCATTGTCATCCAGTAGAACATACAGAATGCAAGTGCTTACAGTCACAAACACCAGCAATTGGAGTTTCTGCCTGCAGTCTAAAGAAATACAAGGACAAATTGTCATACAGTAATATCCCGATATAGTGGACTCGCTTATAACAGAATATCGTTTATAATGGACGAGGTCTGCCGGTCCCGGCCGTGTGCCTTTACGAACATGCAGAAAAAGCATTAGATATAGCAGACTTGCAAATAACAGAATTTCTCTTATAACAGACAAAGAATTTGGTCCCCAGGGCCGCTTTTAGCTGTAGTTTAGTTCAACTATAACGGACATGCAGGCTCTGCCTACAAGGCGTGTGGCGTGCCGGTGATATCCAGCGCAGATACGTAGTCGGGATTATTAATAGTCACGCATATGATCTGAGAAAAATTCCGAGGCAATTTTAAGCAAAAATGGAGCCTTGACCTGAATGGGAGGGGGATCCCTCTGGGTCGGCATTATTTGGTGAGGGGGGGCCCATCCCACTGTCCCCCCATCACCCACATGATAAATGCCGTGTGGTTAGAAAGGTTGAGAAATCCTCTTGTAGAGCATAGAGCATTCTAACCTGGATCCTGGAACAGCATCTTTATTCAAGTTAGGGCTGTAAGCAGGAACTTTTTATTGGTATTATGTTGTCTCCAAATATTTCCATGTGAGGTATTTACTTACTTGAAGATATGTAGACAGCCATAAACATTTAAAAACACAGAAGGAGAGATAATAAATAGTGACTCTCAGCCTGGTTCTGAGGGACCACCCAGACGGTCCATGATTTTGCTCCCTCTCAACTACCTGCCAGACAGTCCACATTTTTGCTCCCTCCCAGGTCCTACTGGGGAAGGGAGCAAAAACATGGGCCATCTGCGATTCAGTTTGAAAAACACTGATTTGAACAACTACAAAACACTAAGTCGACTGTTCAGTTTCTGTGGGTCAGGCTTTAACCAGAAGACGCTGATTCTGCTGTATGACTGGAAGCCATGAAATACTAATGGGCTTCTTTAAAATGTCAGACTAAAGGATGGTGTCTTCAGGATGAAATTGAGGTGGGGTGTTAATGCACAGAAAAGCACAGAAGGATGCGAACAAAGCAAAGCTGACAAATTGCTATCAGAGAGAGTTACATCCCCAGGTAATCGGGCGTGGGCCACACGGAAAGGTCACTCTTTTATCAGTGCTTTCCTCTGGGAGAGGAAGATGACAGGGTGATTCCAAACAGGATGACAGACTGCTGCATTTCTCCCCTGCCGAAATGTGCAACCTCTGCCAAGGCCTTGCAGAAACAGGGCTCAAAAGATCTGAAAAGTATGTTTTGTTGGAGTAACATGATACGGCTCCTAGAAGCATATTCACTGAATCTTGGGATAGAGCCTAGCAGTAGGTTAGAATAAAAAATAAAACCGTCCATCATGTCAATTAGCAGACACTTTTGTTAAAAGCAACATATGTTTGAGAGAGCAGAGTGGTTTTAATGCAGAATATTACAAGTATTATTACAGTGGTGCCTTGACTTACGAGTGTAATTCGTTCTGTGACAGAGCTCGTAACTCAAATTACTCGTATGTCAAATAAATTTTTGAAATGCCATCAATCAGTTCCGGACCCCCCAAATACACCGCATTTTATGTAAATAGCTTGTGCCTTCTCGCAGATTATAGCCTCCGTCACGGTATCTCCTGCGAGTTGTTTCTCCGTCAACCACACCATCAGCTGCTTCTCCATATTTTCATGGATAGATGTCCGCTGTTTAGAAAATATTTTGACGCCCTTGGCTAGCGTTGCAGCCTTTATCGACTCCCTCTGCTTCAGTAAGGTGCAGATTGTAGAAGTGCCACGCTTGTACTGCTTCGCCAAGTCGACTACATGCACACCTTGGTCGGTCATGTTTTTTGATTAATTTTTCTTTAATTCAATGCACATCATCCGCTTCTTCTCAGCACTGTCCTTCGCACTCACTTTCTTCGGACACATGGCTGGAAAAACGAAGTTTTGCAAAATAACTGCAAGCACAAATGCGAGCACAACACTGATGGTTCCACTGCAAGCTAACTGCTTAAAGTGAACGAGTGAGACACGGGATGCTGGGCGGATGTTTCGGCGTTCACTGCACCAACTAGCGGTGGGGTATCTGAAGCTGGCTCGTAACCCGAATTTTTCCTCTCAACTCAAAGCAAATCGGCCGAGAGATGGCTCGTATCTCGAAAAACTCGTTGGTTGGGACACTCGTAAGTCAAGGTACCACTGTACAAGTTTTTGATTTAAGCCAAGTACAACATTGCTCTCATCTTTTGAAAACACGTAAATCATCAACAAATTCCATTCATAACAAAAGTCCAATCTTAAACAAGGCAGTAAACTACCTTAAGCCCCCTCCCCCCACTTCGTCATGAAGAGATCTGCTGAGTAAGCTATAATTATGTACTACGTTACTGTAGTGTAACTTTTAAGTCCACCAAGCCAGGTTCTTAGCAATGAAGAAGATTTTAGTGAAGCTTGATGGTGAAGCTGGATGGCTGTTACTCACTGTTAGCAGAGGATGTTCTTCACCTGAGGGGTGTAAGCCTTCCCTTAGGAAAAACTCCCACAGACACATTTTTGGGTTATGATGGTTTGTGTTTTATATATTATTTCAAGCCTTTGGGGGCATCTATTTATAGAGCTTGCAGCTCCTAGTTTACCTGTTTATACAGATTCTTACCAAAGCAGTTGAGGAAATAATATATATATATATATTTTTTTTTACTTCTCTCAGCCCCAGAAGGCAAGGAGGTGGAGTCTCCAGTGGCTGGCACAGTGACGGAGGAAGTGGAGCCAAGTCTGGAGATGCCCAGTAGTCCAGCTTGTAGTAAGGACTGCAGCTGCATTTGCCACCTAAAACGGCCCGGCATGAGGCTGGTATGGATACTGGAGGATGAGGAGGAGGAGGAAGATGAGGAGGAGGAGGAGGAGGAGGAAGATGAGGAGGAGGAGGAGGATGAAGAGGACAAGGAAGGGGAGGAAGTTGAGGAGGTGGAAAGTGAGTATGAGGAGATCATTCTTGAAAAGGGAGAGTCTGAAGGAAAGGAGAAGAAGGATGGAGAAGAGGGAGCTGAGGATGGGGACACAGCATCTGAAGCAGAGGAGAAGACGTGTGGGCCACAGCCTCTAGACAAAGCAAGCAAGCAGAAGTTCTGGCATACCTTGGGCTATGTGATTAAGAAGAAGAGCATTTCAGGTACCTCTGAACCAGGGGTCCAGGAGCCTTTATGTGTTAGTATCCCGAGCCTTACTGTGCCTGAGGAAGACAACATATACGAGGATGTTCTGGAGTCTATTCATGTGCAACCGAAAGTAAACCATCCAGGTCAAAGTCTTCCAAACCCCAAGACCCACCCAGAACCTCTGGAGGCAGGGAACGACCCCGTGCCACCCATTCCTCCCCGTGTGCCCCTCGTTCATGACAAGGCCAGTAACCACCGCCCTGTGCCTGGTGGCATCTTACTGCCGCAGCTGTTCCCAGACGATCGTCGGAATTTGCGTCCAGTATCTCCCGTGGACCGGAGCCAAAGTGGCAGCCAGGCCCTCCGGCCACAAGCCCAGACCAGCCCCCTCCTGCCCCCCCGAAGGTTTAAGGAACCAGCACCTCGATCCAGCCCAGATGGCAGCAGCTTTAACTCTCTGTCTGCCCAGTCTGTCGCGCAGCTTGACAGTGAGTATAGTCTCTTGAATCAGTCTTGAATGTCTTTTCTTCCCTCAACATGGCTGTGCATTCTTCAGCTTCGTACTGTTCTTCCTTGAATATTGATGGATTTCTGTGTCTGCATCTTTCTCTTCCTCAGATAAAGAGGAGAAACCAGAGGAAGAGGAAGTGGACAGTAAACAGGAATGGTAAGCTTATCTTCGCTTCTCCACTTTCCTTCTTCTAAAGCTACATTTCTAGCACATTCCATTTCATCGATCACTTATTTTTCCACATCTCCCTTTAAATTTTTATACAGACTGTTCAGTGCTTACACACAAAAGTTAATGTGCTTTTCTTTTCTAAAGCTGCATCTCTTTTTTTTAAATAGACTAATTATCCTACAATTACCTGTGATACAAAGTATGCTAGACTATGCTCCAAACACAGTCCAATGAAGCACACTCATTACTTAGGGCACACAGCAGAAAGACCTTTTTCAGAGCACTCACGCATGCCCATATTGTCACATACTAAAAGAAAGTGACTTGTCAGTTCACTAGAATCATTGATGGGCCAATGGGCTTACAGAGAAACAGTGCACCACAAACTTCACATAGACATGAGCGTCAGATTTTAACCCAGAACCCCAATGATCCAGTAAGTTCCCCATGAGTTTTGTGGCTGTCGGTCTCTTCTCTTCTCTCTCAGAAACACAATCTCACTCCCCTTTTAAACTCAAGATATTTTTGGTACAGAGAAGCTGCTTTGAATTTCCTCGTCATGTTTAATTGCCCTCATAACTGCTTCTCTCCCAGGTCAAAGTTGGCTCTTTCTCGCAAGATGTCTGAAGACTGGAATTCGCAGTTACAAGATGGTAAGGAGAGAGTGACACAGTAACCAGCACAATCTTTAAAACGGGCCACAACCCCAAAACAGGGTGGGTGTAGAACACAATGGATTGCAATGAGAGGGAAATTTGATGAAGTGGGTTCAAAAATTGGTAACAATTCTAAGATGTCTAATCTCTTCAAAACATTATATGAAAGCAGGAATTTAAGAAACCTGAACATGAAACTAAATATCATATATTTTTGTTGTTTGAGATCACGTTTAGGGAGATTTTGGCATTGTACTGTGATTCGTGATTGACAGTTATCCTCTTGTTTTGAGGTTCGCAAATCATTGAAAGAGCTTTTTTTGTTGCAGAAACAATGGAATCAGGTCTACACGTTATACGCGGCCAATGTTCTTGTTCTATTAGCCTTCTTATTGCTGCTGAGAGTATGTCAGCGCTGTTGATCTTGTAGCCCTTTACCTTTGAAAACTCATCGCCTCCCTTACTGTCTGTCCTCAGAACCGCTGTACCAAACGTACCGCGCCACCGTCATCACCAAGGAGATCCGTCGGCAGACCGTTTGCCGCAACATCAGTAAGACGAGTGCGGATTACGTCATGGAATGGGGAGTCCACAACAATGAATCCAAGGCTGCTGGCCAGAATACCTTGTGGCAAAACCTGCCAAGTGTGAAGTCGAGTGGCATCCTGAAGACTCTCAGCACGGCAGAATGCAAGTATCAGGAGGTGAGTGACCATATCCTGAGGGAGAACTCCAGGTGTGAGGGGGCAAAGAGAAGGTGGCTTTGCAAGGGACCACAGAACAGAACCACATGACTCGGGGATGGGAAAGAAGGATTAAAGACTTTGATTAGGGGAAGGAAGACTGCTCCTACACAGCAGTGAAAGGGATTGAACCAAAAGACAGCTGGCTCAGCTTAAGCACAGGAAAAACACAAACAGAGCATGGAATTGAGCACTGCATCTTGGGAAATGCTACAGCAAGAGCACTGTGTGTATTCTGGGTGGGGGGCAAGAAAAAGAGCCAAGAAAAATATGGAAAAAAAAAAAAAAGAACTTAAGCGAAGTGACTGTCTATACTATCTTACAGGAAGTTACGCTCATTTAAATACAGGATGACGAAATGACTCCATCTGTGCTGGAGCTGGCATGTGACGGGAACCTTGTCTTGTATATATCTGTAGATGGTAAAGAGATACATGTGGCTTGGAAACCCGTGTGATTACCATGTGCTGTCAACCACTGCCTAATGGGAACTTAAAATCCACAGGGAAGTGCATTAAACCAAGCGGTGATCGACCCAGTAATCTCTCTTGTTGTGGGTTTTGAAGCCTCACTACTTGTAGCACAAATGCTCAACCAGACTCTCATGCCTCTCAGAGCGTGTTTGAGGTACTGACGTCAGAGGCCTCGTATCTGCGATCCCTGCAAGTGCTCACCGACCACTTCCTGGAGTCGCGTGACCTGGATGAGACACTCATCGTCCACGACAAGAAAACCCTCTTCTCCAATATCCTGCGTGTGAGAGAGGTCAGCGAAAGGTGAGAAAATTGAAGGGGAAGTAGGAGATGGAGGTGAGAATTTGAGAGAAATGAAGCTGGCAGGAAGGTTCATGGTCATAAACCTTTCAGGCATCTTCACATCTTTGGATAATTATCGGTTTTATCTGGTTTTCTCGAGGACGCAGGGTACTTACCCAGTTGAATATGGTTCCTTTTTATTTCCTGGAGATAACACTCAAGACAGTGGTTTTCAATGCCACTCCTGGTGTCCCCCCTGCCAGAATCAGGCTTATATGGTCCTTAATAGGCTAATAGCGAATGTGGCAGGTTGAAAGCAGTGTGGGCTGGAATGAAAACATTCTGCCGGGGGGAGCAGAAACAGGAACAGGATGAGAACTAATAACTTAAGAGAAGACAAAAATCACCACTACGAATAAAACGGCTCCAAGACAATTACGACTTCTTTCTATGCTAGCTAGTTGTTTACATTGAACTTCCCTCCTCAGTAGTGTTCGATTTAATGTGCACAGGTTTCTGAAGGACCTAGAAGATCGGATGAATGAGTCTCTGGTGATCTCGGACATCTGTGACATCATCCACTATCATGCTCAGCACAACTTCCCTGCCTACATTGACTACGTCCGAAACCAGATCTACCAAGAAAAAACCTACAGTAACCTTATGTGAGAATGCATGCGATGATGCTTTAATCCAAAGTGATTTACAGTAGAGGGCAGGGTTATAATTTATGTGCACATGTGGGATTTGAACCAACGGCCTGTGCTTGATATAAAGGAGTAATTCTGAAAACTCTGATTCCCTCTGACCAATACATGACATCTTCTGCTAGGGATAACCAAAGTCTAGCGTTTTTCCCCGATTCTCGAGAGAGTAATTGAGTTTAAAACATATTAAATCAACTGCTAGCCATATTCTCCATCAAAACAGAAAAGGAAATTTGAATAGTTTAAAGTTGACTGGACATACACTTGACCTGTCGAACACTGGGTAAACGCTCAGTGCAGTAATGGCTCTGTTTGTTGGTTCAGGCAGACGAATGCGCAGTTTGCAGCTATAGTCACTCGGCTGCAGGAGCTGCCCCAGTGCCAGAGGCTGCCACTTATGTCCTTCCTGCTACTGCCCTTCCAGCGGATCACCAGACTAAAGATGCTGATTGAGGTGAGGCCATGTAACATGACTGATTACCATTCAGCCTGTGACTATTGCTGTACCTCCAGTCAGTTACATAAGTATGCAATGCTTGCTTCATGAATGATATTACTGAGTTTTCTGTCATCAGAATATTCTGAAGAGGACCAAAGAGGGAACTAAAGAGGAATTATCAGCTTCCAAAGCTCTCAACTCAGTATCTAAGGTGAGGTCCTAACATTGTCGTCAGTACGCTACAAAGCCGAAATTGCCTTCTAACCCATTGTCTCCTGTACATCAGAGGATATCCTGCTCTGTTGATGCAAGAAAGGAAACTTGTGTAGAAAAGAATGGGGACTGAATTCCTGACATGATAGGACAGAGGACAATGCAGTTATTTCCTTAGTAAAAGCTTGAAAAACAACTCAGGCCTGTAGTTTTTTTAAGCATCCATTAAGTTTTTTTGTATTTCAAAAGGTGGTGTTCTTGGCTGAGCAACAACATGAAAGCTGTATGACCCTGTACACGGGTCCTAACATTTAAGAATAGGCAAGGAAGTAGATGAAGCTGTCAGTAATTTGGATCGTGAAGCACATCCATTGATGCCATTCTTACTGTTGTCAATAATTGACAACTGACCCCCCCCCTCATCCACCATAGATCATAGAAGCTTGTAATACTGAGGTGGGGAAAATGAAGCAGGTGGAGGAACTCATCCATTTTTCTAAAATATTGGAGTTTGAAAAAATCAAGGTAAGTGAATATTTCCAATCTAGTGTGCTCACAGGGAAAATATTTAATGTCTAGCACAGGACAAGTCCAGGATAAACACAACTTTGTGTAATTGTGTTTATGCTGAAGGCTATACCCATCATCTCACAAAATCGATTCCTGGAAAAGAATGGAGAGCTTCAGGAGATAGCCAAGGGAAGCACCCTGTTTAGTCTCCGACCCAAATTCACCCCCACCTCCCTCTTTCTCTTCAATGATCTCCTCATCATTGCCATTAAAAAGAGGTGAGTCAGTGATAAACCCATTAGCCCACTGGTATCCTGTATGGACATGGTCGTGCAAGAAGATACTATAAAAAATATTCCGCTCTGACCCCCCAGCTCAGAACGTCATGTTGTGATGGACCATGCCCACCGATCGCTGGTCCAGGTGCAGCCTGTAACTGAGTCCCCTGCTGGCCTCAACTTGGAGAACTGCTTTTCCCTGACCCTCCTAGAGAACCACCAGGGTCGCATGTATGAGCGTTTGTTTAAAGCGCCCTCCCAGTAAGTGTTTCCTGCAGAACCCCCACCTGTGCATCCTTAACCACTTCATAGCACCGTCTTTCCAACTTCATTGATGTCACTGCAGTACAGACATACACGTTATCGCAGGCATACTGGAAACTGGTGGTGGTTCCTGTGTGGTGACGCATTCACTTCACATGCACAGGTCTGACATGCACAGGTGGCTTGCTGCCTTCCCTGACCCTGAGAACATGGAGCGAGAGACAAATGAGGTGGTCTACAAGGACTGGGGTGAGCCATTTGCCCCAACCACTACACTTACATGCAGTCTTCTGGATCTAAGCATGCCAGACTTGTCAAAAAGCACTTTTTTGTGGCAGGCTGTTCCATTGGTAATACACTCTTCCCTTGTCTCTTTTCTTGCACATTTGTGTTTGGATTATCAGACTGTCCACAAGTACACTGTATAGAGCAGTATGTTGCCCAGCAATCAGATGAACTCAACTTGGAGCCTACTGACATCATTAATGTTCTTCGCAAAACCAATGAAGGTAAGATACCACATTTGAATAGTTATCAGAAACAACTTTGTGGGAATGTCAGGATGTGCAGGAAACCTGTTTCCTTAATTGTAGTTCCATTAAAAACCCACCTTAATTCTTCTTCCACCCTATTCACCCACAATCCTTTTTGACTTCCCCCTTTGCCTCCGTACTTCCTGTCCTCCTGCTCCAGGCTGGTATGAGGGCATCAGGCTGTCAGATGGACAGAAGGGATGGTTCCCTGTGAGTTGTGTGCAGGAGATCACCAACGAACATGTCCGAAGACGAAACCTCCGTGAGCGGTTTCGCCTTATCCAGGCTGCAGATGCTATGACAAAAGCACGGACTGGGCCTTAGCAACACCGGACTGCAACAATGGGCTAACCGGAATGGATCCTACACGCCTCAGTCCAGATTTGGATTCTATGAAAGGAACTATTATTTTAAGCTTCTGTAGTACTAAACAAGTATAGTCAAATCCACCCCAAGTTGTCTACTGGGAAGTGGAATTAATGAACTAAGGTTCAACTTCCTGCTGAATAGTTCAGGTTATTATAAGCAAACACAACAATACAAATACTCTTTGCCTCATTCCACCAATGGCTTCCAGAGACCAGTAAGAGGTTCCTAGTAAAAACCAATAGCCACAGTTCGAAAACAGGTGTCAGTCTCACAAGGCCAAAGCAGAACTATTAAGGTGCTACTGTTGAAATACCAAAAATACATCGCAAACATTCCAGGAGAATCTTAACATGTGAGGCATCTAAACTAACCAGGCAAGCAGGTAAAGCATTGGCAAAAAATGTTTTAACTGTGACAACAGTGCTGATGAAGAAATCAGGACTAGTAGTTACTGAATGAACAGATTTTAATGCCAGTATTTAACTGAAGTGGCAAGGAGAATTACCACATGAACTGGGTTGTTTCAACAAAAACGTTAAATTTTTTTATTTTTTTTTAAATGAGGGATGAAAAACTTTGCACATTTTGGTCAATATTCTCTATGAACAGCAAACCATGTTTTAAAAGTATCCATATTTTTTAAAAACCTGTTCAAGTTTAAATAAAAAAATAAACCTAAAACAGAACCAGTGAAAATACGAGTAACTGTATTTGTATAGAACATTTTAAATGACGCGTACACTGAAAAAATAGCATGCAGAACTTTACTCTTCTACTTCAAACACCTCTAGGTGGGTGGAAGACCTTGTGGTTGTTGGGAAAGATGGAGCAGGGCAGACACAACAGCCCCCTCAGTCTCATCTCGCAGCCCCGTTCTCAGCCCTAACTGCTCCTCTTCCTGCTGCTTTTGAAGCCACTTGCTAGATTCTTCCAACCACTGAGAGCCCCCACAGTGCACAGTGCAATCATCCTGCGGGTCCGTTATCCCCGAATTCTCAGATTCTTCTTCGCCCCCACAAGCGGCCCTGTCCACTTGGCCAATCTCAGAATCTTCCACACTGTATGCTGAATTGACATCATCACTGTTGACGTGAAGTGACCCTAAGGACGTGTGTCCCAGGCCACTGGAGATGAACAAGCACTGATCCACAGTGTCTGCACTTTGGCTTTCACTGTCCCCTTGAGCTAGACTATGCGTCTCCTTTATTCCTACTTCCCCGTCATCCAGCGTAAGGAGAATATCAGCAGCCTCTAGTTCTGTGTCTGACCACTGTCCGGATTGCCCTTTCGATGTCATTGTCATCTGAGGTATGCAGTCAATGCTAGCATCATCTTCCTGATTGGCTGGCATGGCAGGGCTCCATCTCAGCTGGCAAGGCGTCTCATGATTTGGCTCGCTGATGGAATCGTGACGGAGCTTCAGGAGGTTAGTGATGGCTTGGTCCTCCTCAGCAGACAGCTGAATGACCTCCCTCCTCGGTCTCAGGGTAGGACCAAGTGTAGAAGTTTGGGGAGCACAGAGGTGGTCCCAGGCCCATACCTGGGAACCCAGGTCTCTGATTAGGCGGGGTTCTGTTCTAAAGGGATCTGCTCTGATTGGTGGGGTGATGCTGGCTGACATGATTGGTGCAGGGGTATTCAGTTGACAGCATTCAAAAACCTACAGTATGAAATTCAAGGAACATATTATATAAATACTGCTTACATCCGAGACCCATTATACAAATATACTCCTAATCTTTGTACCAATAAGTACAGTCAAGTATATGGTGATTCTACAAGAAATCAACATACGGTTCACCCACAAATATATTCCAATAGGTCAGACGTGACATATTTATTCCTGTACTTTACATAAAGTCTGACTATATGGGAGCATTTCAGGTTAATCTGTCCTCACAATCTCCAACATTCCATTCCTGTTGGATTATTACGTCAAATCCTGGAGCTATTTAGTGTACAGGAAGGCGAGATTCCTAGGGACCCATCAGGGATGGCAAACAGCATTTGGATGGGAAAGAAACAAAACTTAGACATGCGGGGGGGGAGCCTTGGTAGATTTCACCAACTAGGTCCCCAATGTCATATTTCGGAGCCCCTACAAAATGCTCCTCTAACGCGCCTGCAGACTTCAGTGATGGGGTAACAATTTTAACTGGGGACATAGTGTCAGGTTGGGACAGGCTTCAGTCAACACAGCAACCACAGTGAACTCTCTCCTGAGACAGTTATGCTTCTTCAAACACCCATAAAATTCCTCTTGATATTATAATCTTAGATGATATTTCATTTCACAAATCAATATGCATGTTTACTTCAACAAATTACAGACAAACTTAAAATCTGTACCCAATTCATGGTGTGAAGATCTACTCACCTCAAGCTGAGCCACATTGTTGGGGATTCGATGTCCTGGTGCCTGCAGAGGATCATTGTAGAAAAAGTCTGAGGGAATCATGGCCGGAGCTGAGGGGATCAGAAAGGAGACACGGGTGCAAGAAAAAAAAAAAAAGGCTGGATTTACAGGATTTGAAAAGTTTTTCCATGGAAAAATAAAGGATAAAATCTGATAGTTACAATAAATGTAGATGTATCAAAATGACATTCTTTATACATGTAGCCTGTTACTTAATCACTGAATTTTACTAACGAACAGTTAATCGTACTGCTGCCACCTCCATGTTTACCACCCGGATATTTACTAGCTAATCCCGTGGGTGTAATTCACATGAATTTACCTGGGAAGCTCCGGCTGCGAGCTCGCCAGCCGCACTGCATGGACCCGACAGCCATATAGAGGGAGACGAAAGACGGGTGCTGCAGGGTCCGCGAGGAGGCGTCAGGGAAGACAAGCGGCCGGGATCCCTGCCGAGAAGGATGGAGATACTGAAAGGCTGCAGCTCAACACCGAACACTCATTTTTAGAATATGCAATGAATTACTACTAAACACGTTAAGTTACTCGTAGTTCAAATACTCTTTACTGTAGTTTAAAGTACTTCTTTGCCCCTTTAACATATTGCATACCGTCTGCTCTGCCATTTGCCGGCTGTGGCTGGGCGCGGTGGCCTTCGCGGCAGTAAAGCTCTTCGGTAACCCTGCAAGCGAAGACCACAGAAAAACGCCAGAGATGAGAGTTAATTCGCAGAATGCTTTATGTACATCTTTTACAAACCACAAATCGGAGACGTACCTAAACTGTTTACTGTAAGCGAAAATGTAGACCTGGCTTTTTGTGCTGTTGGTTAAACTTGAAAGCCAATTAGACTGGGACGGACAGGGGAATTGTGGTAGAAATAACAAAATCTGGAATGGGAGAAAATTCGTTTTAAAAGACGTTTACATTTTTAAAAATATAAAATCGTATATTCAACTTGTTGAACCGATTTGAAAAATGCCATTTTTGCCTTACCCGTCAGTAAAACTTTTGTGACTGTTCCAAAAACTTAAGCGCCCATTGACTTGTACTTAAGACCTGTTTCAATAGACAATTTTTAGGAGATCTCAAACACTTATAATATTTATATTGGTTTTTGGAAAGAAACGGTGCCCCGCAAGCAGCAGTTGAACAAACTGATTAAAGTAAAAAGTTAACGGAATTTGCTGCTATCCAGTAACTAGCAAGTAGACTCCAGCTGTTATAGGTTGGTTAATCATGCAGTTTCACTCCCAATTATGCACAGTCGATTGAGGGACTCAAAGCGCAAGTACAGTCATACCAGTGTTTTTATCCTTTCATTACCAACACTTGGTGGGAAAATCTTTAAACTATGCAAATTGTTTTGAGCTTTATAATAATGGCTTCTGATTTTCAACTTTGATTCGAAATGTTATAGCGATTTCATTGCCATGATATAATTTGGTCGGGAGTGTCAGGGAGCTGCAGTCAATTCGCAGGAGAGATGGGAAGTCTGTCATGTTCCTGGCCTGTTCTGCAGATTTTAAGAAAAGCCATTACCTTGCCCTGCATTTTACAGCCTTTGGGCATGACCAGGAGTGTAACTCTTACGACACTTCCAAGAAGTGAGATTTTAACACTGATTGGAAAAGCCTAGAAATCATATAACTAACATTAGATATTGCTAACTGCTCTGCAGCTCAGTGAATTATCATTACTGTAATACAGGACTCACTGGGAGCGGGAGTAGGGGTGGATACTTTAGGGTAGACATAGGTACAGAACTTTCTGGACCTTTAATCTTATTAGGTGAGTAAACATGTTTGTACAATTTCAACCTGGTATTAATTGGATGCTAAACATGCAATTTAATCCTTTAGTCTTGTCAAGTAGTTTAGTGTTACTAGAGTGGTGATGTGAAAAGGAACCAGTATGCCTCTCCTGTTGTAATATGATGTCAGATTCCATTAAGTGAGGTTATTAGTATGACACAGCTATCCTCAGGGTGTCGTACTTTGTAATTCACACTAAAACAGAGGTGTGTTCTAAACAATGGTTTGGCTATTTATGCACTGCAAAAATCAATCGACAATGATTTTTTTGTCATTCCTTGATCTGTCTTTCTCCACAGAATTTGTTTACAGCTGGTAGTGTCCTTAAAATAGTTTAGGTTAACTGCACTTCTGTCAGTCCTTATTTGGATTAAACCATCTGATTAAGCTATTTCAAAGTATAATTAATCAGTGCAGATATAGGCATGCACTCAGCTTAAGTCAGGGCTTCCCCACCTTGCTGCTGTACATCTGCCACCCTGCAGAGCTTAGGTGCAGCCCTAATTTAACACACCTGACATAGATAATCAGGCCTTTCAGTAGCATCTCAGTATTAGAGTCAGCTATGTTGAAGATATTACTGAAGGGCCTGATTATCTGTATCAGGTGTGTTAAATTAGGGCTGCACCTAAGCTCTGCATGGTGGCAGATGTACAGCAGCAAGGCGGGGCAGCCCTGGTATAAGTTTTGCCTTTGTAGCTTAGGTAGACATCACATGACCATGCAACATGTGATTGGCAGGTGATGTTCCTCAGTGTCAGATATCAACATGCTGTCATGTGTCCTGGGGATGATTGTAGACTGGATCATGTGATTAAGAGGCTTGTTTTCTGCTCCCCTTAGACGGGACCCCATCCTGAGCTCAAAATGGCAAAGATGCTAAGACCATAATACTAGCAACAGTTCTGTATTTATCCAACCGTCTCCCATTCCCCAGGTCAGTGGGGTTCCTGTAGAGGTAATCAAGGCAGCCATGTTAACTCATAGAGAGGCTGACAGTGGTAGACTTATGTATGGTTTGTAGTGCAAGTAATGTACAGACTTCAGCATGTAGAATTTCTCCATTGTAGTTTTTTTTGTCTAGGTTTTCTGTAGGTATATTTTCTGTAGGTTTTTTGGGATTCTTTCATATTAGGACAGATATCTGGTTTTCTAGAAAGACATTGCATGTTTACCAATATGCATACTTGACTGTTGTTGTGTTCTCATGCATGTCATCTTCCATTGCTGAAGTACAGTTCAAGTACTCCAGGACAGAAGTATGCAGGACTGGAAAAATCCCCAGATGTTATTCCCGCCCCGCCTCACATGTCAAAGATGCATTGGTTGTGTCCCCGAGTTTGTTCCTGGGAGGCAAATTAGCAAAAATGCTCTGACCAAAAACACAAGTACAATCATTGCATTCTTGGTACTGAGAAACGGCATCCTGTCAGGGTCAGCAACCATCTGTCTGAGTCTTTTGTGTGGCTTCTCCCCGTTTGGCCAGCAGGTGTCACTGGCCATCCTGTCCTCCCCATTGTCAAACTCCTTAGTGTTTCCCCTTCTCCCCAGACTACCACATGGCTCGGTGAGCTGAGTGTGTGCGACCACTAAACCCCTCTGTCGTGTTCAAATCCCACCTCCTCTGTTTTATTTCTATAGATTTTGTTCCCTTGTGTTTCATTTGTATCAGTTTTCTATTTCCTGTGTTTTGTAACTTGTATTCGATTTTGTTTTTTTGCTTTGTGCCCATGGTTGTGTTTCTACCTGTCTTTGTTATTCTCCTAGTGTTAGATTCTGTTTCTTAGTTTCTCTGTTAAGTTTTAGTTCCTTGATTTAATTAGTTGTTTCACCTGTTGCCTGTTTTCTTGTGCCAGTCCGTGTGTGTTCTACCCTGATTGGTTGTTTCATTTCTCACGCCTGCTACATCATTACCCGGTTCAGTTTCAGTATTTATGTTCCCGCCTTAGTTCAGTTCCCTAGTGGGTCATTGTTGTATGCCATGTTTATCTGATTAGGTGTATTTCATGAGTGTTTCCAAATGTTAGATTTTACCCTGTGTTGGTTTTTTTTATTTGTACCTTGTTCCCTTCCTGCCTGCTTCTTGTTGCCCTGACCTTTTTGTAGTTAGTCTTTGTTTTTTCCCTTTTTAGTTTTGACCCCTTGTGGTCCATTGTTTTGTAGTGTTCCTAGTGTTTTCAGTTTTGTTAATAAACCCCACTGTTGCCTCAGAGCTGCCTGTACAGAAATCCTTGACAGAATGACTCACTCCCAAGGACGATTCCCAGGCTCTGGGACACCTGCCCCTCCTCAAGTTCTGGTTTCAGTTCAGACTCTTGTGACGGAACTCTGCACACTTCAGACCATATGGAAACAGCTGTCCTTGACACATCCGTGTAATTTTGTGCAAAGCTATATTCCGTTCCCTGGTATTTCCAAGAAGCACTATGATATCTGGGCTTTAACGCAAGTAGAAAGTGATATAGGACATTATAAACAAAGTCAAAGCTGTGTACCTGTGGCGTACTGTTCGGTAACTTCCAATTTCCAGGTAATTGAATTAGACTTGTTAAAATCCTTGGTAGCTTCCACATATTTCCCTGTAAAAATCCATTAAGGGTAAGTTACACTTTTTACTAGAACAGCAAGCAAGATCCCAAGCACTGCTATCACCACACCAACCACTGGCATTCAGTATAAGGGAATGAAAAGTCTGGAGAAACTGGAAAAGGGTTACAAATAATGTAAACCACACAGAAATCACATTCACATAGCCAGGTGAAATGTACAGCCCTAATTCCCCAAGAGATTTAACATTCTGGGATTTTTTTTGTTGTTTTAATCTTGTTAAATGAATGGTGTGAGTGTGTGTGTGTGTGTGTGTGTGAGAGAGAGAGAGAGAGAGAGTATGGGGAAATTGGGGAAGGATATCTACTATGGTTTAGCGTGGAAAGTGGGTGGTTTATCTGGGAATGTTTTATATGTATTGAGAATTTAAGGCTAGTAATTACCCTTTTAGAGTGACGGTTTGCTGTGTCTTGTCTTACTGAATTTGGGGTGGTGATTATGCATAATAATGAAGTGTGTTAAAGTCTAACCTATCCTTTGTTTAGACCTTGTGGGGGTGTGCAATGCTGCGTGCTGGTGGGCGGTGCTAGTTGCTGACTTGGTGTTCAGTAGGTTAGGTAGCATATCCATATTTTTGCATGCATTCACCTAAACCTGCCATTTTTATGAACGTTATTATTGTAAAGAATAAAGGAAAGTATATTTGTTACCGTTTTTGTGTGGAATCTGGGGACGACTACCGGACCGTACCGGTTTACAAAAGGTGGTGGCAGCTTAAATAGGGAAACTGCTGTTACATTACAATACAAGAAGTGACAGGTGATGTTTTCTCATATTTGTTTTACAATTGTAACAACGCAAAGGGAATGACAAGCCTTTCAGCCGAAAATTGTGCATTATACTTTTCATTTCAAATAAAACGCAGGGTTGCAACCTTTGGTCTGGTGGACCGGTCCCTACATGCCGCCACAACTGTACCTGAAATCAGCGACATTAACAGAGGTTATTTCTGTAGAGTGGTTCACTGCCACGCGCTTCTTGAGGTAGGTTTTCCCCCGCAAACAACAGCGTAATTAATTACAAACATGGCGGCAACTCTGCAACAGAAAATTTCAAAAAGGTATTTTATTAGACTCCATCCTACGTATGTTTCCACTTATATTCGCGATCAATTCTACGGGGCCAATTGTAGAATTTAGAATTTAGAATTAATGGAAATAATGGAAAACCAATTAATTGGTTCCCGGCCCCCCAAAATTACACCTAAATATGTTTTTTTTTTTTTAGCATTTGAATACAAAATGAACAGGATGAAACAAGAAGAGCATTTTTTTCTTAATTGCTTCAGAGAGATGGATAATGCCGCTTCTTTCAAAAAGATTTATGACCTAAAGGTCAAAAGGTTACAGGTCAAGAATTCACTGGGGGGGGGGTTGGGGTGGAGCCAAGTGACGTCACGACTAGTGACGTTAATTATTTGCATATGTTGGGAGAGGGGTGTTTTTTAAAATTTATTTTATTATTTTTAAAATTATTTATTTATATTATTATTTATTTCTTATTATTAATTTTAATTATTTATTTCATTTTGACTAGTTTGGAGAGTGAAATGAAGTTTCAGTGAATTGTGTGCTTATGAGTGTGATTTGTCGGAATAGCCCTGTGTTATGAGGGTGATGGCTGAAGGTGCTGAGCGCGGAGCTGAGCGGGTTGGTTACCTGATGGAGTGTGAGCGTACGCTGGGTCTGCCTGTGGCGCGGTACTGTGGGATGGTCCTGGTCGGTCCGGAGCGTGTAAATGTTATTTACACCCCCGTAGGTTATCCCGGTCAACTTTATGGGCCACACATCAAATTGGACATTTTGTGTTACAGTATATAACATGGTTTTTTTTGCACAGGACAAGCGGGTATAGGAGATGGATGGATGGATGAGCAGTTTTCCATGTGCCTCATGGATGAGAAATTACTTTTAGTTACTTTTTTAGTTTAGAAACATTTGTTAACATGAAGTATTATTGTATTTTCCAGTTTTGATTGTCAGTTTAGTCTTAAGTGATTAACACAATGAGCTTTTTTAAAGGCATGTTTCTTTTTGTGTTGTAGTTCTGTAGTTAATTAACTGTTAAAACAAAACCAAGTCCTTCGAACCTAGCTGCATTTTCAAATTTGAAGGTTTCGTCATTCAGTGCCACAAGCCTTGCAATGTGAATCATGAAAGACGTAATCAGATGTAGGGCCACTTTGTGCCTTTAGAAAAGCTTCCGTCCTTCTTGGAATGCTGTCATACAAGTCCTGCACTGGGAGAGTGACGTTAGGGACCATTTTAAAGGATGAAGGAAGTAGAAATCCACTTCACACTATGCTCTCCAGAACGTTCCGTAAAGGTTCAGAGATGTTTAGATCTGGTGATTGGGGAGGTCACAGAAGTCATACGATTTCATCCTGCTGTCCATGAAACCACATTGAATTTGTTTAGCCGTGTGTATTGGGTATCATCTTGTGCACCAACTATTTGGCATGTTTAGAACTTCGCTACAATGTGTCAGGCAGGATTTTAGCTTACGACCCTCCTCCATCATAAATAGGTTAAAAAAGCGCTGATAATTCCAATGGTACACATTAAAATGCCAAAAAACACATTTATTCTAACATATCCAAAAATGAGACACCACTGCATCTGTGCTGCACAATTTTATTAGTTTTATTGGCATCAATCAAGTGTTGAAAAGACAAGAGGCCCTGAGCCAAAGGATCATCGCCAGGATCCCTAGGAAGACGGACACCATCCCCAATGTCGACACCATGAGCAGGGACATCTCGACTGAAGGGGAAAAAAAAAAAAGATGTTCCCCAGAGTTGTACATATACAAAACATTTGAACATTTTTCTGTCAAAACCATGTATGGACAAGCGAGGTGGACCCATCTTAGGCCTCAACGTTGACCTTTAACAAGTGAACACTTCTGCAGGACTGATCTCACCAAATAATGTAGCGAATCTTCATTTCAGGAAGCGGTGGATTTGGCTGACCATTTCAAATGCTTTTTGAACACTTGCAATAAGCCATTTTAAACGCACCCATATCCATGGTAAAACCGCAGAAGAATCTTGGTCTAATACACAAAAACAAACTTAACCTGGTCTGTCTGCAATCCTTTGTTGTAAAACACTTCTTTGAGCTGCAAGAGAAGACAGAGATAATGTCATCAGCATCTTCCACTTACACACCCCCGCTCCCTCCAGCATACCTCTGCCAGAGGGGGGCTTTTTGCTCCAGAGATAACCAGGGCTCCCTTGTGTGGGGTTGCTGGTTGAGGATGGGAAGACAGTGGGTAGGTGGTGGATCGTGATGCTGTTGTTGACCAGGTAATGACACTGCAGAATGAGTCTGTAGGCAGAAAAACTGGCCAATGACGAAATGACAGATCTAAGGATCTCAGTCTACAGGCTCAGATAAAACTAAGAACCCCAATGAATGCTCTTGCGGCCCATTTGGCAGTTCCTTCTACAATATGGACAGTCTCACCTAAAGTGAGTGTCCCGGTGGATGAGTGGGAGGGGCCTGGCAGTTCTCTCCATATACACCACTTCATTCTCATAGACTAGGTGATTCCCCTCCATCTGGTGCAGGTGGGGCAGAGATCCTCGTGTAATGGATGGTTTGGCAAAATACCAAAACAACGGAAGAACTACATAATGGACTAACTTTGTTGTAAGTAAATCTCAATTACAAAATGCAGCTACATAAGGAGTCGTGATTGGTCGAATGCCGAAAGAGTCATGTCTGAACAGCAGATACATCACAACCTTAAAACCATTTAATGTGTTAAGGGGAAAGTCTTAAATCATAAGAGCATATCTCACACAGTTGAACTATACTGACAAACAGAAATCAGAGGGATAGAGACAATTAATTTATGGTGTTTACCAGTTATCGTGCAAAAGAACTGACCCAGTCTCAATGAGAACTATAAGTCACAAGCTGGAATTTTTGGCAAGACTGTTTTAAGAATGTCTCCAAATAAGCTAAATAGCAGTTTTTTTAAATGAAAAGGAAGCTACATGGGGATATATGCACAGCTTTAGCTACGCTGTAAAAATGAGGGGGTTCATTATATTAAAGCCGTGTTTCCCAATCCGGTCCTCGGGGACCCACAGACAGTCCAAATGTGGACGACCTGGCAGGGAGCAAAAACGGGGGCCGTCTGCAGGTCCCCTAGGACTGGATCGGGAAACCCTGTACTAAAGCATTTAAACACGCGACATCAAACCTCAAGTGCAAAGATTGGCAGGTCCCGGTACTCACTGACGTCTTAGTGCCACACAAATCCAGGGAGAAGTTAAAAAGGGCTCGGGTGCCGTCTGCTGCAGATGGCCTGCAGCTCAGGTCCAGTAGGGCAGTGCGCATTGGCTTGACAGGGGGTATGGTGCGGGACGTGTCCACCACTGCCACTGCCCTGCCTTCTGGGAGGCACACTGCAAGGAAATGGGTCTCAGTCAGCACTGGGCACCTGAGCAGCAGCCAACAGAAAGAGGATGAAGAGTCACCCAGGTTTGATGGTACTTTGCACCCTCTATTGGTGGAAGTTAAAGAAATAAATACTGTATTTCATGCAGGCCTATGATCAAATTTTCCAATAAAATGAAATTGGCTTCCAGAATGAGAAAATCAGTGAAATACGAATGGATTCATGGCAGGGTAAGGGCTATATAGGCCATATAGATTTGGAATATCTAATGAATTGTTTACAGTAATATTTACGCAGAAACTCCCGGACTGGGAAGGTGCACCGCTGGACCAAGGTGTGCTCCACGAGCTCTGTATCCACATTCACGAGACTCACTTCCACCCTGATCCTCAAAGCCTGCAGGCTGATGTTCTGCGTTGGGAGTAGAGAGAGACCAGTCCCCACAAACACCAAAGAGAAAAATCTGGAACATGAGGTGCCCAGACCCAGGTTCTTGTGAACTGGAGCCCTATCTTCAGTAATCTTTGGGTTTACACTAGAGTCTAATTGACATCTGAAACACCATTTTAAAATTCATGACTTTAATAAAGCAATTTAGTATGAGGTTGCATATAAACCAGCTAACCGAGACCTGGTTTGGCTACTCCCATATACAACAAATTCATTGAGTACCTGATTGTCTTCATTGTTATTAAATCTTGTTGCCTCACCTCATAAACCACACCCAGGCTGTGCATGGACAGTTCCACGCTGAAGTACTCCTCCTCCTCCAAATTCACCACGTATCCCCCCAGCTTCACCACCTCCCAGTCCATCCTGCGGCCGTCGATGTACATCTCCCACTCGGAGCCCAAGTTCCCATAATGCAACAGCACCAGCACGCCCTGGTCAGTGCACTTGCCCTCAAGCTTGGGCAGAACTGAGATGGGGGGGGAGGGTGGGAACGGCTAAGGAAGGGGCTAGATTAAGCATGGGATGGGGGAGTATGGTGCTATGAGAAGGCCTACCTGCATCCTGCGAGTCACACACCACAGTGGCATGATGGAAAAAGGCCGCGTTGCTGGGGAGAACGTCAAGGGAAAATGCCATTTCCAGGATGTGCCTTCTGTAACCCCCACCGATATACTAAGGGGAAAGTGTGTCCAATCATACAGTCAGAAATTCTGTTTTTCCATGTAAACAGTTCAGCAGCAGGGGCATTGTGTAAACCAAAATTAAGGGAAGGCACCATATCCAAACCACACACAAGACTATTTAACTCTGTCCTGTCTATCTGATCTGTTTCCTGTCCAGCCATTTTTGGAAAAAATGCCTATTGCCAAGTGTGCTTCATTCTACCATTCTGGAAATAATACAATAGAAAAACAAATTGTAATCGCTGACATGACGATGGTCATACATTCAACAGTAGCAACAAGTAGAAGACTAGTCTGATTCTGTATGTGTCCTGTGTAAGGTGACTACACAGGCTAGGTTACCGTCAAGACACAGAACAATCACATGCACAAAAAAAACAAAAACTACTGGTTCGTAAATTGATTCATGCAAGTACAACTATTTACGGTTGGCATAGTGCATTGTGCCGTTATCTAGAAATGAAGAATGCAGTGGCAGTGATACATTCAGCTAGATGACTGGCTAAGTAACGTCAGCCAGAAGATAGTTTGCTAGTTGTGTTCAAAATACGTGTCGTGGAGATGCAAAAGGCTGTGTTGGTGTTTGTGGCCAGCTAGCAAATACTGAAGGATAGTGTAATTTGTACAGACAACAACCACTACACTACAAAACGGAGTCGGTCTGCCATCTACCTTGCTGGCTAACGTTAGCGGACATTAATCATTTCATAACACGGCTTCATTGTATCTCTGTGCTAACACGTTGGTTACATCCTACCCATGCAGACGTGTGTGCGATATATTTTGACAGTTTTAGGCTAATACAGCATATGTCTGTGGGACAACAACATAGAAACACTTCAGCTGCCTTCTTATACTTGCAGTAGCACATTTACTTGGCTAGCAGTTGTAAACAGCTAATGATAGCTGACCTTGTTTACTGACACTGAGATGTGAGTTATGAATGTCACGACGTGATTCGGTGATGTGTAGAGTTCCTGGTAGAAGGGAGCTCGCTCATTGGCTAGATTACCCTGACTGCAAGTTTAACGACATGTTATTCACAGTCGATGTAGGCACATTATTCATTGCCTGAATAATTCATTTATACATTTTTTTACAATATTGGGTAGGCACTGGCCTACCTAAATTGATTGTTAATCAGTGGTGTTGTGCCAGTTTCACTAATAAATAATCAGCCATATTTTAGCACTTGTGCATCGATAGTTATGTTAATCTGTAACAAGTCAAGCAGTCTAATAACTGTTAAGGTGCCAGAGATTGAAGAAACATGTGCAGTCAGGTGGGCCTCACCTCCAGAAACACATGGGGGTGCATGAAGGGCACCTGGAGCTGGTAAGCATGGCTGCCATTGGCGAAGGGCATAAGGGAAACCTGGATGCCCGCCTTGCGGGCTTGGGCCCAGCTGAGAGGCGCTTCACCCCCCACAGCTACACTGCGTAGGGACACCTCTGGAGAGAACACTCCAAAGGTCACCGAAAATATTCCCTGTCCCGGAATGGTGTCTGAACGGGAGACAAAAGAAAAACAAATCAGTGTTAATCTACAAAGATACCAAAAAATTTAAGCATTGAATCATTTGAGCTCTTTGACATTCCATCCACAGTGTACCCCAACCTTTTACCCTATAATTTCTTGAGAGCCTGCCCCCTCCTAAAACACGACCTTGACTGGCAGTGGGAAGATGGGTGGATCATTTAAGGAAAGACTCATTTTTGCGTTACAGTCAATCATCTAAACCGGTTTCTCCCCATCTGGTCCTCGGGAAGAGAGCTGGGAGAGAACAAAAACATGGACCCTTTGGGGTTCAAAGAACTGGGTTGATAAATATTGATATAAACCTAAACTTTGATCTAAAACACACCTGATCTAAACATGACAACTTTTTAGTATCTACAGTCCATAGTAAAACTCTGTAGGACCAGCAGTCATGTGTGACACCCTCCGAATCACTCTGAAGCTTGAAAAAATATTTAAGTGTGCAGAGCTCTGACCTCAAACCCAATGTTGAAATACAAACTGAAAGATCAAGGACACGATGAAGATGTCCTTCATTAATGTTTTCAAAGAGGAGTGGAGCACAATATTGGCAGCTTCTTACCAGAAATGATTGTGGTCTTCCACAACAGTCAAGAGCAACAAATGGGAAAGACTTGAGGAACAGAATTTTTAAAGTGGGTGGGATTAGGGACCTTTAAATATAAATGAAATACTAATAAAATAGGGAGAGCACAGATCTGGTCCTGATGAGGGAGTAGATTTTATAAGGGGGGAGGGGGGTATTAAGACTCACTGTTGATGAGAATGAGCCTTCCAGGAATGTATGTGGTGTTCAAGGATCTGAAGGAGCGATGTTGGGTCACCCCCCAATGGCCTTCCTCCCACTGGTGAATGAAGTACAAGTCCACAGAGAAGGACTGCAAGTAGCTCTGGTCAACAACGTTGCTCTGGAGAAGAAATTCACCATCACTGGGAACCCTTGGCTGCTCAGTTTTCTTGGGCACACCAACCCTTACAACTCCGGCATCACAGAAAAGACCCATCTAGGTTTTAACAAGGATTTGGGGTTCAGGTGCATCAGTTTTCATCAACAAACCTTAATGAATCCACCTTTTGCTCCAAAAGGAATCCGGATCTCCACAAGATGTTCCCGCAACCCGATTTCATAGCCGCGCTCTAGGATCTGACACTCACTGAGGAGACTCCCGTCCACCCCCATCCTCACGCCCTTGTCCCTGAACCAGCCCTGCACCAGAGGGCTCAGGATCTGGGGGAACATCCAGGATAGATGCTCTCCATCCACCATTGCTCTGCCTTGGCAGAGGAAGATGACAAGGAGAGTGTGACCTCTCATTCATAGACATTGTATTTCAGAAGCAAAAATAATCCACACAAAAGCCATTAGAGAGAGCAGGCCTACTCAGAGGGCAGGCCACGGAGAGGTTGGCTAGAAGGGGGATTTTCTGATGCTGGTAGAAGACCGTGGCACTAACAGCCTCCACCTCAATCCCATGGTCCTGGAGTTAAGGCACATAGGATTGGATCACATGCACATGAGAAGGGAACTCCAGAAATTTTTATTCTGTTCTTTTTAGAGGAGACAAATCAACACTATTCAATTAGTCATTTTACAATGCTAATGCAGTATTTCTCAACCAAGTTCTCACAGTTGCACTGTACCAAGTATCTGTCATTCTTCATTGCTTGATTATTTGGTTCAGGTGTGCTGGGAGCTGGGAGGGAGCAGAACTGGACTCTCTGGGGGTCCCCGAGGACTGGGTTGAAAAATACTGCACTAATGCATTTTCAAATGCTTCATTCTCATGGAACGTGGAAATATTTTTTTATTTAACTAGGTGCTAATTACTAGCTCAGGCAGTATGCAAGTCATGAAAAAGGAAGATGGAGACATTTTTGGGGACCTGGAGCACATAGGACAGTGGGGAGGAGTAGAGACAGTGCATCACAAGGCGGTCACCCCTGGCATTGATGTGGTAGCCCTGGAGATGGGCCTCCTTCACAGACATGCCTTCTGCCAAAGTCTGGTGTGGGACATGGAATGCCACCTGCCACTGGCTAAGCCCGTCCTCCTGAAAAGACGACATTCCGGGGGGGATGGGTGGAGAAGGAGGAGGCGGTCAGGAAGGGGGCACTACTATGCCTCAAGGACTGACAGCTCGTGATGGCCAAACGAAGCATCATGAACCGCTTGTTGTTTTTTCTGACCCCACTAGATGGTGCTGTCTGTTCAGAAAAAGGACTCAATGCATGGCCCAATGCAGGGCCAAGAGCACCACACGTCCTTTTTAATGGTTTTTCCTCTAAGAAGAGCTTTCATCACCAGCCTTATTTGCATTGTCATTACTACCATACTAGTTACTGTACAGAAGATACATACCTCAGGAGGTCTGACATCCTTCTCCCTATTTAAGTGATTGTTATGGGGGAGCCACCTTGTTACAGAAACCTGGACAAACGGGAAGAGCCAGATTTTATTCATACAGTACAGTCAGAGCAATAACCACTAGAAAGTACACTGTTACAGGCAAAGATGTGAATGCTACACAAGCAATCAAACATACCTCCATGTAACCCTCCTCACAGACCACTTCCCGGGGGCTCCAAGCCTGGAAGAGAGGGCAGGAAAGGAGCAGGGGGTAGACTACCTCCTTGCTGTCAACATCTTCATTCACAACACGGACACGCAGCCAGAATTCTGCACCCTTCTAGAACGAGAAAGCATGATATCTACACTCTCCTAAGATGAAAGTGTCTTTTAGCTATGGTCCCATCTTCATTCTTCAGCATCACAACTGCCAAAACTGAACCGCTTTCAAAACCTTCTCTGTCAGAGTGTTACCCAAAATCCTCAGTTTAATTAATTAGTGCCTTATTTGAAGGCTGCTTAGTTAGTTTTACCTGGCCCAGTTTACTGTTCACATGGCAGGCCAGGAAGGAGGCTCGCAAGACCAGGTCTCCAGCGGCACTGAACACGATGCTGTACCCGCACTCAGCGGCTCGCTTTATAGACAGGTAGTGAACACCACTGCTGTCTGGGACAGAGATGCATTACAGGCGTGCATATGCATATTGGGCACATTATCAAAAAAAAACAAAAAACTCAAGGGTGAGAATAACAGTGAATGAGTAATGTTTTTCTGACACACACCAAAAAAAGAGGAACTACAGGATGAGAGCAATCTTTTAGCATATAGAAGCTGCTAATAAGTCACTAGAGAACTAGAATACAAAAATTGTAACTATTTCCATCCAGATAATAAATGATCATTTGTGTCATTATAACATACTGAGCCCTGATTTGGGAAGATACATGAACCAACCTTCAAAGCCTAAGCGAGTCGTTTGGCCAAGAAACTGCGACTGAACATTAAGCCAGAAATGGCGGTCGTGACACTGCATCTTGAACATTCCTTGACAGAAAAAAAGAACAAACAAAATGCGAACCACTGAAATATGTGCAGCTGTTCTGCATTTGATTGATGAAAATCAGAGAGAACTTACCAGATGGAATGATTGTGGAAACAGAGATTTGTGAGATGCAAAGCAACATCACACTGGAGGACAAAAATCCACAAAGTTTAAAACATTAGACTGTAGCAAGACTGTCAAATGTGATGAATTTCCTAAGAGCCTTGGTCTCACCCTAATGAGGCTGTTAGATGTACTTTAAAAATCAAACTGTACAACACTAACAACACGTCAATAAAAGCTTAATTTAAAAAGTTTAGTTTAAACGTTAAACTGACTTTAGCTTTAATCTACACAGTAGTAACCCAGTGCAGTACGTACGTTACCCACCGCTAAAATGTTCATTAAAAATTGAGACGATTTAGAATGAATAATTGGGATACAGTTCTAAATAAGCTTACCATATTCGCTTTTTAGGAGGTATTTTAATAATACGGGGTATGATGTGGGCCAATGAATGTCTCATCTGAGAAACCATTTAAAGTCTAGGATTTGTTTTTAATTTGCCAAAAACAAAGTGGGACGGATTTCATTCCCGGCGCCATTTTTGTGGCTAAACAGACCGAAACACCTGGCAGGTAATTGCTTATCGCCATCCTGGCAGGTTCGGACTTCAGCGGTTAACATCCAGGGTTAGGTAATAAATTGATATCCCTGCCCAAATTGATTTGCTGGAACTAGGGTTTACAGATGAGTTTTTTCTGATTATTTGTTAGTAATCAAAGAATTTAATGGGTCTATATATAATTATTAATGTATAATAACTTTAGGCCTCTGCGATTTTTTTTATTTATCGTATTTTATGTTTTCTCTAAATATCTAGTTATTACAAGATTAACTAGGGTTTATAGCTGTAAGCACGCACATAATGGCTAGAACAACAATAATATTAATAATTGTTGTTGTTGTTGCTGCTGTTGTTTTCTGCTTTTGCGTTTTTCTATAACGACGCACTATGTAGACAATCCCCCACTTCAGCCATTTCTGTGGAAGGTGGTCAGCCAGTAGAAACAAAATCGGGATACATGGAGCAATATAAATATTCGTAAGGTAATGACGGAGTCATGGGCGAATAAAACGCGATAGGCTACTAACAGGTTAAGAACAGAAAAGGGGAGGGAGGATCGCGGAAATAAGGCACAATCGAGTAGCGATGCATTGGAGCGTACTGCCAATTAGTAAAAACGGATGGTAGTGATATATTTCTCTTTATAAGGATATGACTGCCGTTAATGTAAGTATATCAAATATAAAAATATATGCAATTATTAATGTGAATAAATACAACATGGTCATAAGTGGTCGCCATAGTAATGTTGATAAAGGTACCCCTGAGGTAGCAATCTACGATTCATTTTAAACATATCTTGTTCAGATACATAATATTTTGTAACATTTTCTTTCGTGCATGGTGTAATATTACTCGGCAGCGATGCTATGGCTTCCAGTTGCTAGGAGACTGCAGATGATGGAAGGCTTTAATAACGTTCTTGTTCCTGTAATTTCCAGAATGCTTTAATTAAATATGGATTTATTTATCGCACGGATAGAAGAGTTAATTCTCCTACCAATAGTGATGATTCTGCGTGAAATGGAAATGTAATGAAGTATCGCTCTGAGTTTCGCCTTTTTGCTTTCGGGATGAGACAGAAGCGGGAGAAGGAGCTGAGGAAGAGACTAAATCACTTTTTGTCTGACCTGGCAATACTGGGCTCCCTGCAGGTACAATATATACATATTTAAGTAATTAGTTATTGTACTAGGTGCCTGTTACGTACTATGGCAGATTTGTTATGCTTGTGGTCACGCGGCCGAGTCCAAGGCGGTGCATTTAGGCTCTAGTTTCTTCGGAGGTGTGGGTTTGAATCCTATTGCCGCCAGATCTTTCTCGAATTTCCCTTTGGGATCGGTAGATTTTGTCTTATTTTGAAAATTCATTTGTTGATTAACGGTGGGTAAATTTCGCTGGAATTTAACCTAGGGGAGTATTTATACCTCAGTTCACCATCATCACCCCAATACTGATGGTTGATGGTGAAAGGTGATGAAAGGTTTTAGCCAACAGTCAGGGATCCCCTCCAGAAAATCACATTAATTCCCAGCCACGCGAGAGCAAAAGTGCTCTGCTTTGATTAGTCTGCTGATCGATGAATAAGTAAGCATTATACTATAAAAACACACAATACAAGTAAGACTGTGGTTATTGAAGTTTCATTTGATATCTCGTTTGGTATCTCCTCCCTGCACACAATAACACGTCCTGTAAATAAAATCCCATCTGTTTCTCTGCAGGGCTTCCGTTATTTCCAGCCATGGCTCAGAGGAAGAGAGGAACTTTTATTGACTGTGGTAAATGAAGACCAGGTGGGCATCTGGATTGTGTGAATAGTTTTAGCCAATGAGGACAAAGTGTGTTCCTACATTAAATAAATAGGAACATTTTGATTAAGGGAATTATTTTTTTTATCTGAGTAAGACTGTGAAAAGCTGCGACCCCTATGCTCAGGTTGTGTGCTTTTTACCTCCAGGGATGGTTCTCTCCTGGTTTCCCTGTATCTGCTGCGTCCTCCCTCACCAGCCCAAGTTCTGACAGCAGCAGCAGTGATGCTGGGACTCCTCCCCCCGGAGAGCCACCCCCACAGGCACCTCACCAGCAGAGCAGCAGGTGACCGGAAGGCTCTGTAGAGTAAAGGCCGCGGGGTAGAATGCTTTATCGTCAGCAAAGCTGTAAAGGTGGACGAGTTCCATAGGAGAGCATGGTGACCCCATAGGAGGCTGGAACGGGTGGTTCTTAAAATCCATCGAAGAAACACAGGGGCTGCTGCTAACCCTCTGGCTTCCCTGAGAACCGCTCTGGGCAGGTGCATCAAGGTGGTGGCATGTCTAGTGCTTAATGACAAACCACAGATTGAGTCACATTTCCCTTAGTTTTTATCATGAAATGCTAAGAGGCTTTTTACTAGGGAGAACGAGGCACAAGGGACATAGACATGCCTAAGACCTGTTATGAAGCATTATTATACTGACTATGACCATTGCCATAGATGTCTCATGACCATGGGTCCTCTCATATGCTTGTCACACATCACCATTCATCCTTAGGTGTTATATGTAAGGATTGCATAGAGTACTGGGCAGTACATGCGTTAGATATATCGATTTTTATCATGGTGAAGTAAAATCATAAATGACTTTTAGCTGGTATTGTCTGGCTTTTCTGGGCTCAGGAATGGTGAGGCCCATCTTCTCCCAGCCTCGCCCAGTGAGAGGGAGATTGCCGTGCCTGTAAGTGATGTCTTTACTGCTCTTTTTATGTAGCCTCGGGCTGTTCAGATTGTCTGCTGGTGATTCCCTGGCCACTGTTTGCCACACACAGGAAATGAACTGCACCCTTTTCCTGCTGGCCGGCTATGCTAAATATGGCCGACCTTATGCGTGGATACGGTCCAATCACGAACGACTGGTCAACATCGGGGGCACTGATTCGCTGGTCAGAGACACACCTATGAAGCTCAAATCCATCACAGACTGGTGCTCACAAGGTTGTGTTTTTTTTGTGGTATTATTAACCAAATACCCTGAATCATTATTACAAAAAGAGTAACAAATATTAGGTTTAAAATTGATAGTAATGGTTAATATTAAAACATGTAAACATTACAGGAAATATTATACTGATAGAGCAATGTGTTTTTCCCATACAGGTACAAGGGTGTGGGACATTGTGAGTGAGTTAGTTGGCCTATGCACCGTCCCCCCCCCTGTCAACCCCTTCTCTTTGGACATGTGCTATCTCCAAACCCTTTCCCTCCAGGAAAGATTCCTAGTTTCTGGTGCCATCATTAACTTCCTGGAGATGCTCCTCGTCTACACCTCTAGGGACCAGCCGTTCTACGACAAAGGTGGGTTTGGCCGGACCGTGACAATACCAGAGTCATCCACACGGTGGCAACCTTCACCCACCTAATCTCTTGTGCTACTGCTCAAGCAATATGTGTCAGTGTTTCAGTGAGTACCGGGGCTGTTTTTTTTTATTGCGTTTATGCGACAGGCCACATTTTTTTTTTACTACCAAGGATGATGCATACTAGGTGATGGGTGAGTCGATGCATGTCAGGTGTTCGGAGGTGAAAGAGAACAAGGCTCCTGATTGGGTAGCAGGAGGGCGTGGTTTGTACAGAAAGCCCGATACCGGTCACGATAATGAAACAATGTGCAGAGCATTGAGGTGTCAACTAACAGTGTTACATCACTGTGCTACCTCAGTCCATATTACTGTTTGTGATACACCTAAATAACATTCTTTCACACACAAGCAAGCAGTTGATTATAGTTCTCATCTCAGGTCAATCTCCAAATGTATCACATCAATAGAACTTAATTCCACCATTGTGGGTGTGTGAGCGAGAGGGAGAGCCTTTTGAAGATCCCTCATCCTAGCTGTAAACTGATAGGTGCCCGTCGATATTCCAAACCGCTTATCCTGTACAGCGTTGTGATGAGTCTGGAGCCTGTATCAAGTACAGGGCAGAAGGCTGGAGAACAGGCTGGGCAGGATGCCATCACAGGGCACCCACTTGCACCCCAGGAGAAATTTAAAGACACCGAATGCAGTTAGTGAAAGCTGTTGGATGCTGGAACGAATGGATTGATGCCAAAAGTCACACCATGCGCTGAAAGCCTTGGAAGACCATAACAAGCCTCTCCATCTGCTTTCTCTTAGTCATGGAGGAGGTGGACATCCTGAGGAGATTGCACATTAGGAGTCTGTGGGAGGTGCAAAAGCATCGAGGGACGACGTCACCCTCTAACCAATAGCCTGTGAGGGGCGGAGTCATGGAGCACCAGTACGCATGAGGATCCCAAGTATAGTGCATCTGTAGTGAGAGTACAAAGTACAGCGTCCGGCTGCCATGACAGCATTCAGTCACAATAAAACATTTATGAGGGCAAAAAAAAAAAACTTCATGTACCTGATACAACCATTTCTGGCTTCCCATTCATGACCAAAAATTAAAGTCAATTTGTTTTAAGCCTAAGTGTGCTATATTCACTGCTAGACCTCACCACGCTGTCATAGGGGGCAAGGAAATGCAGAAAAGAAAAAAAAAAAGGGGGCAAAGGAGGAAAAAAGAATGACGATAAGAAAAGTTCATAATAAATTTTATTAAATAGGCATAAATAGAATACAGAAACATTTTAAAAGTTAAAAACACAGGCAACAAGAGTTGCAACTTGTAGTCCAGAATACATACAGTGCATATTAGTAAATTAATACATTAAAATTAACCATAAAACAATTTCAATTAGCTTTTTGGCACAGAGGGAAATAAACTCCTCCGACTGTAAAAATACGCAGTAATTTTGAAGTTTATGGTGACGCCTATAAAAGTCAGACACTGCAGTGTTAACAGCTAATGCCAGCAGTGTGTCACCGGATGCTGTCCTACTGGAATAAACAAACAAGAAGACACCCGTGAGCATCAAACCCAGGGATCACAAAGGCTTCCAGACTGAGGATGTGCTTGATCAGAACATTGTGTACATTCCAGGTTGGAAGGGGGGACACAGGCAGTTAAAAATGGAGCACAGACATAATAGGGTTGGGGCATAAAACAACTTGAGGTACTGACCTAATTTTCTCATGCAATGACCAGAAACATTTGAAATATTCTGTATCATGTTACACTGCACTGCAGATCAGATGCAGCAGAGCTTGCGAACCATTTCACTGAAACTGTAAACACAGTGACTATTTCAAAAAGCGGTCCTTAAATACCAGCCTTCCAGAACACCATTAATCCCCCCTCCCCTTGATCTGGCATGACTGGATAATCATTACAATCCAGCTACTGACCCCCACCCTCCCACACCGCATAACCCAACCCTCAGGAACCTAAAACTTGCAAAACAATCCATCTGACTCGTGAAGAACTTCCCAGACCAGCCTGACAACAAGCAACGGCTGGAGAGACTCAGAAGATACTCCAGATCTTTCCAAGCTCTGGCAGACCCATCAGAAAAGCCTCTGGTCATCAGCGCCACTCAACAGGTTGTCATCCAAACTTCAGACACACACACACCCTGACCGGAAGGTAACGGTGGGGGCCAATCACACCACACTTTGGACCCACGAAAAACACAGATCCCTTGGTGTCCCAAGAAAGCCTGTAGGAGAAGCGTGAAATTTCTAGGTCGCTCTTGCAGAATCATGCGAGTCTGGCGCGAAGCGTGCAGCAGTTGCCTCAGGGCCAGACCCGGCTATCGGAACCTTCTGAGCTTCTCCTCAGAATAGCTCTCAGGGGGCTTGTAGACAAGGAGCTCCTCTTCCTCCAGCGAACTGCAGCGACAAGAGAGGTAGACGTGGGAAAATGGCATCTCACAAGCAAAAGTCAAACAGTGAGTTCAGCACATAACCCAGCAAAATACAGGTACTTCATTCTTCCCTGTGGAGAAGTTGGGTAGTTTCATTCCCCATCTTACTCACGATGAAAGAAACCAATGTAGAGTGACACACACACACACACACACACACACACGCTCCTCTACTTACGAATGAGATACATTCCTAATGGCTGTTTGTAACTTGAAGTCGTTATTCAGCTTCACTTTAAGGGTATACGCAAGTACGACGAACTAGGATGCTGGGAGTACGCACGCTACACTGCTGCACGGTGGGAGTAGCGGCCAGAAGTCATACTAGGCGGAATTGGCGCACAGAAAAAAAAAACCTTGATGTTGCGGACAGGAAACAGGAGCCCAAACAAACACAATTTGGACTTACAGTCCTCTTCATTCGTGTGCCTGAAAGTTGAACATTTGTAAGTAGAGGAGCGTCTGTATATACACAGTACCAGTCAAAAGTCTGTACAGACCTGCCGAACAATCATTATTTTGCATAATAATATCATCTTGTGACAAGATGACAAGTGACCTGGTCACTCACCTTTCCCCAGGCTGGCAGGCAAAGTCAGGCTCCGTGATGGCGGGGAGGGTGTGCTGGGTCGCTCCTCTAGCACAGGCAGCGTCTCCACCTGGGCGGGGACCGTCACAGCATCCTGCCAGTCGCTGAACGCCCGCTGGAAGGAGTGGGCCAGGCAAGCAGTGAGGTCGCGGGCCCGCTCTGCGCGGCTGCACCAGAACACGCGGCAGTGCAGCTGCTGTCCACGCTGCTTGCAGATGTAGATGAAGACGTTGGGGTGGGTGGAGTCGGCGGCACAGTACGCGATGTCCTGCAAGAAGGTCTTGGTGAGCTGGCGGCCCGTGCTGATCTCCTTCACCTCTACGTAGCGCGGCCGCACCACCAGTGCATGCTCTTTGCTCGGCCTGCCGGGGGCGCCCTCCAGAAGCCGGCTTATGGCATCCTGGGCCTGCTGTAGGTCGAGGGAGAAGATCTTCTCCGTGCCAAGGTAGTAGACCTTGAAGAGCGGGTCCCCGTGTGAAAGGCTCTCGGTGCGGTCACGCCTCAGCCGCCGGCGGATGGCGGCCGGGGAATTCTTCAGCGTTTGCATCAGGTGGAAGGCGCTCAGGGACATGGTCGGCTCCGGGGGAGTCTTCCCGCCGCTGGTCTGCTGCTTCGCCCCTGCTGATCCCTGCCTCCTCTGGAGCTGCATTCACTCCTCCTGCACACAGAGGATGTATCAGGGCATGGCTGAAATTCCAGGGCATTCAGTGACAAACTAGGGATTCAATCTCGATACAGGGACGATAGAGCCAGGATACTGCAGGTTCAAGAATATAATTTATAGCCTGATAACCCAAAACAGCAGAAGATAAGAAGAACATGACAGACTAAATTCTTTAGTCCAGACAGGACAAAGCTCTCTCCTAAGGTAAGCTGAAGGATCTCCTCTTCAGTAGTGTTGTCCAGCACTGCTGCAACATGACACTGGAACAGTCTGAACATCAGGTCATGCGCAGATGCCAAGAACACTACAGGAGTCAATTTAACCTACATTTCCAGAAATCAAAGCAAGGAACCATTAGATATTACCAGGAAGCACAGCCCCTCTTTAGGGGGGGGGGGGGCTTTTTTCCAGTGTCTGATCTAAACCAGTGAACGAGTGCAGCAGAGACCAAGCCGCAAAGGCAGTCCAGTACTACAGAGATTCTTCATCACCACTTACAGCCGACTTTGGTAAACTTCCTCTACAGCTAGAGCTGCTGCTCAAGTTACTGTCAAACCTCGAAAATCACAAGAATTGTAGCCTAAATGCGGCACCACACATGGATGGGTCCCATCTCATGCTGAACTTCACATGCAGTAAAGATTCTAGTCTGGAAAATGGTACGTTTGCATTTCATGTCACAGACTTGCCGTGGGAATTTCACCTGTTGACAAGCTTGCTGATCCTTTGACTCCGATCTCTAACAGACTTCTGGTACACTATGCACACACAGCCAAACAATAGCTGTGTTGCGATTTATCCCCTGCGCCCCTTTCTCTCTTCACAGTCCAATTCTCTCGATGTCCTCACTGGCCCAGACTTCGCTTTGACAAAATACCGCCGACTGGTTCATGGCACCTTGCCACTGCTGGACCTTCTCTCCCTTCAGGAAACAGCTTTACACCCACCCCTCACAACGCCACCCCCACCCCATCTAAAAACAATAGTTTGCTTTGAGCATCTAACACAAACAAAACTGGTCCAGACATCCAGACACAGAGAGGTGCACAGAACAGCTAAACGGTTCGGAAAACACTGACACACAACCTGGAAATTCCTTCGTGATACAGATGACAGATCGTGAATTTTCACAAGACAGACTAAGTTCTTGTGACAACTTTAAGACATGTGGGCTAGTGTATTTCTGGAAGATATAAAATTGGTATTTCATCATACTTTGACATTTTGACATGTGACAATGACATCACTATAGTTAATTTTAGGTACTGTGACCAATATTATGTTACTATTTCCACAGGGTTCTGGCTACTTTGTAAGCCTATTGCAGATTGCAAAATGATTACGTTATTCCCACCAGGCAGAACAGGCCATTTCCTGCTATTGTATCAAAATGGAATTCCAGACTAAAAACTGTTACAAGGCAAAAGTGTTCGATATAAATGAGCTGACCGGATGTCAATTTAAATTAAAATCAAATTTAAACTCAGAATAAATCCGTTATGTGCTACGGAGATAGAAAGACTTTTGCCACTAATAAACGACTTGAGTAAATTTTTAAGTTTCTCTTCTGCAGGCTACACAGGCTGCCATGGGAGAGTTTCAAGTCAAAAACCGGATTGTTTAAATACGTGGCACGGTATTAAAAATGGTGCGATGGGTATAAAACACGTTAACTGGTTTTCAGGTGTTTTAAAATGAGAACTAAGTAAGGAAAAATGTTTACCTTAACACGAATGTTAACAGCCACCGGTCACATAGCAAAAACATTTTGATAAAAATAAACTTGAAGATGGGCTATATGATGTTCGCCCACCATCTTCGTTTCCGTTTCATTACCGGTTGATTTGAAGTGTAAAAGCCCGGAATCCGGTACAAAGTGCATAAAATAATTACGATGACCACACAATCGGCTTTTAGAAGTTAACTAAACCCAGGAAAGATCCGACACTGTGCGTTAATTGCGTTCACCTACATAACATTTGCCGTTATATAGCAAAATACATCAGTCGCGTCAGAGGACGATACAAAACGCGTCGACCATGTGAAACAATGGGGCATGGCATCACCATCTCGTATAATAGGTCTGTTTTTAAATAAAAAAAAATAATTAAGCTATTAACGGTAGCTAGTTTTAAAAATATATATCACACCATCTAGTAAGGTAAACAGATCAAACCACTTTTAAATGCTATAAATTATCTTCGTAATACAAAAAGTATTCCAAGATGTTTCGGTTGCTTAAAACCGATGTGAAAATATTGCACAGTATAGCAAACGGTAACTTTACAAAGTAACCTACCTCGGAGCGGTTCTTTTCTTCAATGTCCTTCTTGAAATGTATTAGATCCAGTGCTTCCCCGTTTGATCAGGAGTTTCTGTGAATCCTGTTTTAGACCTCGAAATAACACGGAGACAATGCCCGTACCGGTGTTTGGTGTGGGGGGAAAGGTGCGCTCAATCTTGATCAGAAATCTATCTTGAAGAACCAGCAAAAAATAACACGTCGTAGATGTACAACGCATGAAACAGGCCAGTATTAGTGCTCCATGAAACGAACTGTGATATGCGGATCCACAGGCGTGCTTGCCGTGCACTGGTGCCGTGATGGTGAGAAGTGGTGCTTGTTGAACTACTACAAACTTGACTGGCTCGGCTTGTTACTCCCGCGCCGCTTTTGTACGGATTGTGCGCGCCCCCGAGTTACGTAGTGCGCGTCGGGTTGGAGGGAGGCGGTGAATTACGACAGCATATGATAATCAGGTGAGCTGTAAAAAAAGATTTTCTAAAAGAAACTACACATATGGATCGAATAGGATCATCATCTTACTTGTACCATAAGACTATGGCGTCATATATATCTGATTTATAGAACAAGCGGAACCCTTTTCTTTATATCAGATTCGGAATTCCCCTCTCGTTTCATACTAATATTTCGATGGCAGATAAAAATAAACGTGACAGTAAATGTTATTATTGGATTGTTTTTTGTGATATTTACAGTTTTCCCCCTAAACCCCCTAAGCATAATGGTTTTCCTGAATAGATTTATTCATTATATAGGGTAAGTAGGCTATATGTTTGCAACATAAATAAAAGATTTGAACAATCGGCACTCTTTCCATGCAGAAATTTCCTGTATCGCTGTTGAATTGCACTTAAAATAAATGTATGGAGTAAGGAATTCCCAGGTTTAATTTAAGGATTCTCTCCTAAGCCAAGGTGAGGGATCTCCCCAAAGTACAGTAATCCAGCACAGATCTGCGCAACAGCAACATGACACCGGGACAGTATGTCCGGGACATCAGGTTAAGCGCAGATGCAAAAAAAAAATGCAACAGGAGTCAGTTTGTGCTGCTGAGGTTTTCAGCGATTGCCAAATTCAACAAGAAGCCATCAGATATTGACAGGACGCGCTGCCCCTCCTTGGGAGAGGGGGTATTTATCCAGTGTCTGACTTAAAGCAATGAATCAGTGCAGCAGATACTAGCCCACCTAAGCAATCCAGTGCCTTCAAAAATTTTCATAACCAACTTACAGCCGACTTTTCTAAACTTCTTCTACACCTAGAGCTATTGCTGAATTTACCGGCAAGCCAATCATATAGTCACCCAAGACATGCTTCATTGACGTTTGTAGCAGGGAGGGGTGACACTGGCAGACTGCTAAATCCGCACCCCCCCAGAAGAGGGCGCTCTAGATGGTCACCTGTGTCACTCGTAGGATTGACTGGCTCTTCCAGCTGGGGTAGTTTCACTTAAGAATTAGCTGAGCCTGAGGAAAATGTCGACTAGTTTCCAGCCAGCATCAATCACACATGGCTTGTCTACTTACTGGCAAAAAAAAAAATATATATATATCTTATTTAATTGGTGGTGTTTAAGGTTTAGTTTGGCTGGCGAAACTGCAGTAAATGTTAACATATGTGAGTGTCTAATGCAGAACAGTGCATCCTGTGTAATTTCAGTTTGGCCCGGGACCTGGCACCCCTGAACAAACACGACAGTGATCGCTGGCCTCCTGTGAATTGCCCCATACACTACCCCACCCATGTGATGTGTGCAAATAAGGTGCTGTTTCTATTCCACCCCCCCGCCCAGGCAGAGAACTGGGATAAAAGATGTAAATGTACCCCTGCAGCTGGTTACATTTATTAATCTGATGTGTTTATCCAACGTGAACTACAGTACAGGGAAGGGTTATGATTATGTACTCCTAGGATTCAAACCTACAACCATTTGATTGGCAGCACGATGCGCTGCATGTTAAGTTACAGAAACTAAAATGTCCAGTCACCTCCAGCTGAAAATGCACAGTCATTTGCCAGTGGTACAGCAAACTGATAATTTCTTTATGTATTTAAGCTTTGCTTGAAGACAAAGATAAACAGCCTCATTTCAGTTTTAACTAATTGTTTGTGTGGATGGAGGTAGGGGTCTTTTGTACTCCCGGAGTTCACTGCATTTATGAATTCCAGTAAAAGTTCTTATCAAGAAAAGGACAATGGAAGAATCACTTTAGAAAATATGAATCCCCTGGTCTATTATTCTGTCCTTGATTTATTTTCAGTGTATTCACAGGTCCTTTTTTTGGCGTGTGGCCAAAACAACAACTTTGAACTTAAAGTAAAAGCGACGGGAAAACCGCCCCCCAGGGTATGCTTCTTAAAACTTCCTGCATAACTACTTGCCAATTCCAGTTACTGGTGACTACTGGAAACGGCGAGGATGGGGAGTTGTTTTTAGGCAGGTAACCGTCATCTTTTGTGTACAGTCATCATTCCGTTTGATAACTGAAATACTTTTCGCCGCCGTCTAATTGCGATGATTAGTTAAAAGGTATAAACTCGGTATTGCATTAATCTCAGCATATTCTGGGTGCTGTGTAATAGGCGGTGACCAGTCTTCTGAGTCACATGACTGCCACTCGCTGCCAAGTCTGGACCAGGATGGTTAGACAGTGCCAGACCAGTTGGTCTATTTTAGCCGGAAAAAATGCAGTGACGAAGAACTGCAGATTTCCAAATATGGTGGAAATAACGCGTTTTAGCTGAATCTTTCCTCAGTTGGATCCCAAGTAAAAAAAAAAAAAAAAAAACACACAAAATACTGTTGCAATTTGCGTCAACAAATGAACAAATTTTCGATTGATGATTTTGATTATTATGAACAGCGTGGGAAATCCTAAATTGTAATTTTAAAAAAACGTGTGAACTAGTCCAGTTAAATACAGCTCAGTCATATGTAATAATTGTTTCACTCTCATGAGTTACTGAAACGTTTAAATTTTGACTTTCGAGGCAAGAAGCATAAATGAGCTGAAAAGAAACTGCGAGATTCTGCCTTCGATGCATTTGAGGAAACACGTCAGCCACCTTCATATTAATAAACGAATCTGGATTCTTTTTTTAAAAGGCGCTAAAGCAATAAACGAACAAAACAAATATAATCTAAGTTACCGCCTTAAATAAACACACTAAATAGGCCTATATAGTGTATGTATGCATGTATATATATGTGTGTGTGTCTAGACACACACACAGATTAAATAAGACTATTTAACGTGAACAGCTCGATTCCACCCTACCGCATTTCATGAATCCAGTTCCATTTTAATTAAGTAATAATTAAACATCGGTAGAAAATAATTCCACCATTAATAGAAGTACATTACACGCAGATATATTCGGTTTCTGGGGATGCCGTAGATTAATGTCAGAAAATAAGGAGAAAAAAAGCAGCGCTTCTCTTCAGACGCGAATGACGTCAAGACTAAACAGGAAAGGGGGCAGTTTCCTGTGCCAGTCAGGTCGCAAGGAGAAGTTCAGCTGTTCCATTGGTGACGTTTCTAAGCCGCATTATGCTACAAAAGAATTTTCATTCACAGATGTTATAATTCCCAAAAGCATCCGCTCGCCATTTTGATTATTTGCGTGTCGGATAGCCTACAACGTCTGGTTTCTCCGCAGAACTGAGAAGCCACCTCATTAAAGAAACCGAAAGGTTGCTAGTTCACGTCCCTGTATTGACTTTAGTTTAACAGATGTTTGATGCTACATAATATTTTATCTATCTATCTATCTATCTATCTATCTATCTATCTATCTATCTATCTATCTATCTATCTATCTATCTATATCTATCTATCTGTCTATCTATCTATCTATCTATCTATCTTATATAGGCTATTATCTATCTATCATATTTTATATAGCAACGTTTTGGCTTTAGGGTGTAGTTTGTATTAAATAATAACTCACGATTTTTGTAAACCCTCTTAAGTGTTGTCGACTTAAAAATTAATGTCCCGGCGGCTATATTTCGTAAGCTGCTTTTAATGTCGTTTATAGCTTGATTGGGTGCCGCTCGGGCGGTGAAAGCGGTTTGTGCGTAAGCGTGCGCGGTGTAGCGTCACCGTCCGATGACTGCGGAAATTATTATTTGTTAGTGCGGTTACAACGAACAAAAAGGGCTTTATTCAGAGGAGAACCCCCATCCATAATCCAGGCCAGGTCTTATTTTCACAGCACATGGTTTGGAGACAGATCGTTATGGGCGTAGTCCTACTAATTTCCTCTCCCACCCACCAAACCTCAATGCTTGGTTTCTGTAGGGTATAACTGTCTATTTTTAGCAACAATTTTTGTTCTGTTCTATTTTTATCTTAAAATCACACCTCATCTGTTTATGGTGCAGTCCTGTTTGTCACAGGTACATTGGACTTTTTAATATTGAACTTGAGTTTATTTTTATGGTAGTGGTCTGCTAAATTATGATAAATATTGTGTTTGAAGTTCCTGGCTTATTTCTTAAGTTTTTAATATAGTTTGTCTATTGTGTTGCTTTTTTGCCGTCGAGATGAACATTTAGTTGGGTTTTTTTTATATGAACCAATGCAAGGAAACGTGTGCCCAGTTTAACCCTTCACCAGTTAATTAAAAAGTGCGGAACTATGGAAAATGTGCATTGGCACAACTGACCTATAAAATTTTATATACCGACTAAGATGTCCATGTACAACATCCATGTCCCGCCGGGATTAAAGTGTTTATCAGTCTCACAACTATGGAAAATCATTCCAGTTGATAACATAATTAAGCAATCAATCAGAGAATGCAAGTTTTCCAAATGCCATATCCTCACACAAAGCAAGTTGCGTAAAATAAACTTAGATTTTTTTAACCGGCTTTTTCCATAACCCATCACTGACACAAGGAACCAAAGTTCCAGTTAACAGATAGGCCTACTGGCCAATTCAAGTATGTTGTAAGCAATAGGCTATATAAATATGTGTCCTTGTGCTAGAAAAAATAGTTGGAAAATGGTCTGATGGTATAAAACATATGGACTGTACATTTACGTAGGCCTATATTGTGCGGTACAGCAAACAATCCAACTAAACCACATTTTAATGGATTTCTCACATTCTTCGCTCACATTCTTGATAGCAATGAAGCATTTTTACTACAATAAACATAATTTGATATGTCGTTTCCACTTGTGCCGAGTGTCTAATACCAAATCAGCATTCAAATGTTTTCTTCTATTCCCATAGTCATCACAGTGCGAAGGAGTGGCGCTGTTTAGTCCGAGAGCGGTCGGTGGAGGTTGTGAAGTCCAGCGAGACCCCCCAATACTATCCAAATGCAGCACCGCAATGCCACCACAACACCACTTCTGGGCCACCAGTTGGAAGCCAGCAGTGTTATGCCGGAAGTTACGTCAAATTCACGTCACCGCTGTATTTAGGCGCAAGTTTCGTCGCTGCGGTATCAGAACGGAGTCTTGTACGCCACTACTGTAACCTATGAGAACTGTGTAGAAAGTTATAGCATACTACATTATACTATACTTTATTATATATTATAGAGATAGTGGAAAATGGTATTATACGGATAAATGGTATTATACGGATAGCCGTTACTTTTGTTCAAAACAGTCCTGTGGAAAAGTTTTGAAAGTCAGTTTCGTTCCTTTTTAAGATACAGCATGCATATAAATCTAAATTTTAGTGAACGTAAAAAATGGTAAATAGGCTGCATTTATATAGCGCTTTTTTCTACTCTTACGAGTACCCAAAGCGCTTTACAATTTATGCCTCGCATTCACCCATCCACACACACATTCACACACTGGTGGCGCCGCCCATAAACTTCCGTCCAGAAGCTGGTGGTCTAGAAGTGGTGGCCTAGAAGTGGCGGTGGTGCGGCGCTGCAATTGGACATTTCTCGCGAGACCACTCATGAGATTTATCGATTTTTAAAGACGACTCACTGAACCGATTCTTGCGTGGGATTGCGGAGTGCAAACGAACTACCGTGACATGGTTTACACGATCCGCGTTGCCACTTTAGAAGACTGCAAGGACATTTACCGGATGATCATGGTGAGCCGATGTGGGGATAGGCGTGTCGCGCAGGGTGGCACGTGTTCCGTCTGCGCACGGAGGACTCATGGCCACAGCGTAAGCTTGGATGTTGTAGCAAACGAACAGCATGGTATACACATGACACAAGTGCTGGTGTGTCATTTCAGTACGTTTTGGTGCGATCTATTACTGATGTGCCGTTTCATTTTCCCGAGTGTGAGATGTCTTCCAGAAATAACTACATGAAACCAGAATAACTAGCTAGCTCGCTGCTATAGATGCGCATTTGGTATGTGTCCTATCTTGATTTGGCTGATAGCATTTCCATGACAGTGCAGCAATCCCGTATATATTTTTTTCCAATCCTGTGTAGTAAATGTTTGATGAATTGTCTATATTTTACCACATTGTGTTTGTGTGTGTGTGTGTGCTGAGTGGAATAGCTGTTTCAGTAAGACAAAAGCACAGAACTATCTGCGCCTTTAACTATATAAAGGATACATTAATTGATGTGTAACATCTTCCGATGAACTGTACACTAGTAATATGAATCTGTTTGTTCCTAGGAGTTGGCCAAACATGAAAAGGTTTCTGACCAAGTGAAAATTGCTCAGAGAGGTACATTATTACATCTATCAATCTTCTAAATATTTTTGTAAATGTTCCTCACTAACTTGCAGAAGTGGTGGTTTAGTGGATTCTCTTGTCTTATATATTAGAGCAAGTACAAGAAAACTATTGCAGGAATATTTTAATTTGAGATAAACGCGAGAGGGAGATATGTAGGTGATGTAAGTATAAGCCACTGAAATGCTGAAATCCTTTTTCAGACCTTGAACAGGATGGTTTCTCTAAAAACCCCTTCTTCCAGTCCATCATCGCTGAGGTTCCTGAGCAGCACAGGAGCAAAGATGGTGAGAGCAAGTCTGTAATTTGGTTAATGATGTATCTAGAGATATTTCACTGTGTGGCGGTAATGTTTTCTAATGTTAGAGCTAATTTAGAAGCCCGGTGTCACTGTGAAACCGCTTTGACAGTTCATCTTTACCCAAATTTAATGTGTATTTATTGTGCATCTGTGAGCCCAGACACATCATATGACATCCGACACAAAATAACGACTGACCTTATAGCTTGGGAACCAAGAGTGGGAGGGGAGAGACAAAGAGTCGGCTGTAGAACATGTTCTGACCTGTCACAGTGTTGCAAGGTTCAGGTCAATTGCATCAATCAGTGCAAGTAGACACATCCTCAAATATAGGTGCGTTCTTACCAGAGTTCAGTAATTCAGGTCCAGAGAGTGAAAGTCCAGACCAAGATGCTCCCGATGACCACATTAAAAAAGTGTGAGATGCGATTAGAAAAGACTGAAGGTTGGGTGTTTGAGCAAGTCAATTTGGACAGGGAAAGTGTTTGAAGAATTCTGATTCTACCTCTTCCCAAAGATCAAGTCACTGCTCAAAGGAACCCATTTTTTTTTGTCGGTAGAAAACAAAAACAGAGGAGATCCTGAACAGCCTTAAAGAACTTGACCTGGGGAACTGCTTTGAACATTGGCAGCATTGTATTTAGCTGTGTGTCAGCTCAGAAAGGAACTGTTTTGAAGGCAATCATAGCTGAATTTGTTAAACGGAAAGAGTTACAGACACAGTCTCATGCTTTTGTGTCTGACCCCGTATGCCTGAGCTCCCAGGTTTTCCAAATGTAAAAAGCTCTGAGCATGATCTTGCTAAATGAAGATCATAATTATTCAGATTTATTTTTTCTTTATTCTAGTTTCAGCCCACAACCATGGGTATTAATATGAACTTGCTCAGCCCATTGTTGCTATATTAGCCTCTAATCCTCTGGTAAGACTTTCCATTAGATGCTGGAACATTGCTGGTGGGATCTGCTGCCATTCAGGTTGGGTGTTGATAATGGGTGATCAGGTCCCTTTCTGTGAGCTTGTGTGGCCGACGGCTTCGCAGCTGAACCTGTTCCCGGACATTCTGACCTTCACAATCTCTTCACTTGCAGTTGACCAGGGCAGCTCTAGCAGGGCAGAAAGGTGATGAACCTACTTGGCACCTATGATGGTGCAAGTGGAAAGTCACTAACCTCTTCTGTTTAATATTTATTTGATAATATTTGTTGTATGCAATCACATGACTGTGCACTTAAGTATAAGCAGGATTTATATCTAAGTGAGCATATGGACGTCACTACAAAGGCTTATGGTCACTCCAATCATTTGCAGGACATTCCAAGGTGGGATATGCCCTGTATTTCTTTGCCTACAGTTCATGGAAAGGACGGTCTGTGTACATGGAGGATCTGTATGTGATGCCTGAGTATCGAGGTGAGTGAACTGAACTTGTTCCTGTATTACTATTATTATTGTTTATTATCATTGAGTGGTGTGTGGCTCTGTGGGTTAGTGCTTGTGACCGGAAGGTTGTTGGTTCAAATCCCATGGCTGGCAGAGAGATTTTACTGCTGTGCCCCTGAGCATGGCCCTTACACAATCGCTCCAGGGACCGTCTGACCCTGTTTTCTCAATTTTAAGTCGATTCAGAAAGAAGCATCTGCTTAATAAATTGACGTAATGGTTAGTGTTTATTTTCGTCTCCCACTAGGTCTATTCAGAAAATATCCAATGGCAAGTACACAATCTCATGGCTAAATGTATCTCATATGTTTAGACCAGGGCTGCTCATTCCTGCTCCTGGAGATCTTACACTTCGCAGAGCTTAAATGCAGCCCTAATTTAATAGTTAGACTGATGTTTTTTGCAGGGTTTTTTTTGTATCATCTCCTCCTCAAAATATGATGCCTAAGCCAACTTGGTAGACAACGTTTAGCAGACACTTCCTCTGAAATGTGTGCTGTCAGCTATTTTTTTCTCTGTGGGCTGCAGATGTCATTAAGCGACATCCCACGACCCCCTAGTTGGGCGAAATACCTCTAACCCATATAGATCTGTTCATGGTGTTTGGGCCCCTTCACCACAGACATCTACTGACACATGGGTGGGGCTGAACCCTACTGTAGGATGTACTGTGCTTTTGCCAGCCTGCCAACCCTATATTTATGATTATTTATTTAGCATACATATGACTGAGACAGCAAGAACAGCCCGGCCCTGGAGGATTTGGGGTTAAGGGTAGAGAGGCACTGATCCAAATATCGTAACGGTATCGGCACCGATCCATACATATTAGACATATTGGGCATATGTGAGCTCGTGGGAGTTTTACTTATACAAAAATGTGCTGAGGGCAGAAGGAAAATTGATTGGTTCAGAGAGATAACCAGTCAGATTGTAGAGGAAGTGGGACCAAGACATCTGATTGGTTCGTCCCACCTCTAATTGCTTGGACTGACCTCCTCTATATTCTGATTGGTTGTCTCCCTGAACCAATCATTTTTCCCTGTGCCCTCAGAACATTTTTGTGTAAGTAAATCTCCTATGAGCTATTTGCGGCCAATCTATGTCCAATATGTACTTATTTAGCTTTCAGCAGTCTTGTTGAATCAATTTGTACAATGAAGCCCAAGACAGCACTTTCCCATCTTATATGTGCTTTTCGTAGCATTCAAGATGAACGCTAACGCTGCCACTCTGCTTTTTTTGCCACTCAACAGGTGTGAGCGCAGTGGCTTCCTCCTGCTGTGATGTCATGTGCATACCCTTTGTAGTAGGAGGAACGTAAAGAACATCAGATAAGAGAGTGACGATTGGAAAGTATTTTACACTAGTAACACAGCAATTTGCAGAGTTTGTAACAATAAAGTTTTGAGAGGTGGAAGTAGCATTTAGTAGAAAATGCCACTAAACAAAGAGCTTGCAACAAGCAATCGATGATATTTGAGTCACTACTTTGGACTGTTTTGCACACTCGCTAGAGCTTGTGATACCGGAGGGGCTGCTATCACAATGAAGTATAAGTGACGCTGTTGCCAGTGAGAGAAAAATTATGGGGCATTTTAAGCATTCACCACTTGCATATACTGTCTTGGAAGATATTCAAACAGAACTGCAAAATGCCTCAAAAGTGCTTAGAACAAGATGTACAGCCAAGGTGAGAAAGTAAGTTATGTGTTAGAGCCATTTTTTTGTGCTGTAATTAAATATGCACATTTGACTATTTGAGTTTGATATTTTAGTAATAGTTTTAACAGAATTTTGAGTTATATTTTTGTTATAATGTAAGAGTTAGGAACCTTAGGACGTAGTTGCCACGTGATGCAATTTGATTGGCTGCTGAGTT